AGGATGTGCATGGGCTTTGTGAAGATGGCCTTGCCCGTGGACGATGGCAGACTGTGGAAGGTTTCAGAGGATGGCACGTCCCAATGCGGCATGCAATACCGCAAATAGCGCTGCAAGGACTGCGGGCGTGGAATAAGAAAGGAGATTTCATAAATTGATAAAGGATAGCATATTTGTTTAATTGGATTGCTTCATGTTTTCTGGGATGCGTTGGGAAAATCCTGAGCTTTCTTGTTAGGAAAGACAAACACGGCAATACAAGTAACATGAACGTGCTTTTCTCCCTCCTCTCCCTCCTCTCCCTCCTCTCCCTCCTCTCCCTCCTCTCCCTCCTCTCCCTCCTCTCCCTCCTCTCCCTCCTCTCCCTCCTCTCCCTCCTCTCCCTCCTCTCCCTCCTCTCCCTCCTCTCCCTCCTCTCCCTCCTCTCCCTCCTCTCCCTCCTCTCCCTCCTCTCCCTCCTCTCCCTGGCCTTACTGTGAATACTTTGCACATTAATTTTGCAGATGCACAGCCCGGTTTTAATGCGCAACTCTAATGCGCAACACATCTCTTCCTGCAGTTCTCGGACACAACGTTCATTATTGCTACTTTTTTAATTATTTCTTCTTCTTGACGCTTGACGCTTTCACTTTGCCATTTTCCGGGTGTCACATCCCATATGTCTGATCGATTTGCGTCACATGTATTTTTGTAACCGCATTATGCTCACACTGCACATCTTCCGGACTTCTGCGCTTTGCGTTTTACCATGTTTTCTCTATTATCCAATAATACCGCGCCAAGGCCCCGAACGCAGCGCCTCGTTTTACGACGTTCCTTCCGGATTGCGCAAAGAGTAATTGTGTCACAGTCCGAGCATGCTCATCCATTTCATGCAACTTCTAGGTTTTTGCCCAACTTTTAGGTGGGCAAGCCAACTCGGTTGGGAATGGAATCGCGAATGATGCACATCAAGGGGGTTGGCGCAGAGGCCACACCAACTCCAGTTGGGTGTTATCATTACGTCAGCACTTTGAAGAAAGTCCGTTGTTAGTTTTTTTTCCTAGGGTAATTAACCCGCATATACATCTATATAACCACATGTCTCTGTACCGGCTGCAAGAACGACGTACGGCTTTGGTCTTTGGTGGCCAACAAACCTTCAGTTGTCCAACAGACACCGAAAAACTGCTCAGAAAAACTACGTCGTCAATAGATATCAAAGTTGTCCTCCTTAAAGATGAATAAATGATCTTGGCCAGATAAGTAATAGCTATATTTTCTGAAAACATCATATTTTCAGATTCCTTATATATTTCCCGCATAGAAAATTATATACAGTTTTTCTTTTTCTCTTCGGCAAAATCTGGTGACTCACATTGGCCGTATATCTCAGAATGGACGAGCACAGGACCCAAACCGTATCCATACCGTATCCATACCGTGTTCAGCGAACGTGCACAACCCTAAAACCCTAAGAGCACGTACGCTTCTGCCGTAACCCATGCGGGCCTTAAAAGTTAGTCATGCAGTCTTTTATATCAAGCCAACATACACATTTTGCAGGTGGCTACGGCTGCTGCGGCTGTGTAAAGGTATGTACCTGCTGTCTAAGTCCAGCCATGTGCGCTTTCCTGCTGGAACTATACCACTATCACACGCACGCACCAAATGACGTCATCGTCTGTGCGGTCGTCGTTGCCATCGTGTCGCTTTGTTTAATTGTTATTGATGCTTGCTTCCTTATGCATGTAGGTATCCAGCAGCAGGGCAACGAAGGCCACAACACAAGCGGCCTCCGAAGATCTGCTTGCTTTATGGTAGGTCTTATGTTACGGGCGGGTGACTTGCTGATGATTATTATTGAATTTGTCGGGTGTACAAATGCAGTTTCTGTGCGCGCGCGGTTACGAATGCAGTTTCTGTTTGACATGCTCGCACTGCTATATTTACTTACAAACATGCATGCATGCATGTGTATAGCTCATCGTCGGTAAGAAATGTCCCTATAGCTGTAGCTACACAGTAGTTTACGTTACGCATTACGTTAAAACGTATCATGTCCGTCCCATTTCGGTCAAAAGCTGGACATGTTCAATTGGATCACAATTGAACACATGTTTTAAGATTTACACCTATCTAGGACAAGTGGTAGTGGATGGAGTGTCGGCTTCCGCAGCCTTGGCTGATGAAGCTACGTCGATCCCGCCCGCCGGTGCAGCAGGCGACAGAGGCCCAAACCGGCCTTTTATTATTTTTACCAGGCCATCCTGTCAGCTGTTGGCTTGACAACCTAAAAGGTAGACAAGATCGCCCACCTAAAAAGTGGGCAAGAACCTAAATGTTGCATGAACAATGGACGGGCATGCTCGGACTGAGACACAATTACTCTTTAAGCACTGTTATTGAATAAGAGAGAAAACACAGTAAAATCATAATGAAAAGCGCAGAAGCCAGGAAGATGTGCAGTGTGAAGCAGTGGCCGAGCTTAAGACGGCTACAAGAGTTCACATGACGCAAATCGACCAGACGTATGGGATGTGACATCCGAAAAAATGACAACGTGAAGCGGCAAGCAAAGAAAAGAAATAAGTTAAGAAGAAATAGTAGTAATGAGACCCGGCTGCGCATCTGCAAGATTAATGAGCAAAGCGTTCACAGAGAGACAAGGGAGAGGAGGGAGAGGAGGCGCCTTCAGGGAGAGGAGGGAGAAGAGCGAGAGGAAACATAATCAAATGCAAAGCTCAGATGTGCAGGGTTTAACCGGGTTTCCTCTGACTTATAATCAGTGAACTTTCACTCCAAGAGCCGCATTAGGCCAGGGATGGAGAGGCATCTTGAAGTGTGTTCAGACTCAGTGTGCAAACTCAACTGACAGAGACTTGCAAAGCTCATGAGGGTGTGCGTGTGTGCGATGCCCCCCACGCCGGGGGGAGGAGAGCGGATCTAGCAGACCTGCGCCTTTCATCTGCTTAGGAGGGGGATCAGAACCCTCACGCCCTTTTCATGTCCGCGGGAGGGAGCTTAGGCGGTCTTTCCGTTGGGGCTGGACAGCAGTCCCTGACCAGTCAAATACTTGTAGCGAAGCCGAAACGCGCTCTTATTGAATAAGAGAGAAAACACGGTAAAATGCAAAGCACAAAAGCAAGGAAGATCGGCACTGTCAGAAGTAGTGGCCGAGCATAAGGGTGCATTTCCAGTGCGGATTAAGGCCAGGGATTAGGGCACGGAAATCCTTGGTACGAGCTTACCACATAGTTTTGTTCCATAAGGGAACCAAAGGTTGGAAAAGCGAGGTAGGTTTGCCAACAACTTAGCCGTTTGAGCAAGTATCGATGGAGGACAGAGGGTTAATCTCTGGCCGTAATCCGCACTGGAAATGTACCCTAAAACTACTACCAAAGGTCACATAACGCAGGAGCGACATCCGAAAATGGCAACGTGAAGCGGCAAGCAAAGAAAACAAATAAGGTCAAGACATCATAACAATTCATAAAACGTTGTACATGAGAACTGCGGGTAGAGAAGTGTACGGAGTTAAACCTTCATAACGGGAAGTACATCTGCAGCATCAATGAGCAAAGCGTTCACAGGGAGACGAGGGAGGGAATTGAGAGGAGGGAGAGGAGAGAAAGGAATGCGAGGAGGGAGGAGAGCGTGAGAGTTTGAACGGAGAGGATTCAGAAGAGGGAGAGGAGGGACAGAAGGGAGAGAAGGCACGAAATGTAGTAGCTGGCCGCTGAAAAGGCCTCTCGAGATGCTGGTGGACGCGCTTAGCGCGTATCTGTGGACGTTATGTGTGCCGTACTATGTACCAGGAAAGGAGAGAGAGGAGGGAGAGGAGACGCGTTCAGGGAAAGGAGAGAGCGAAAAAAGAGGAGGGAAAGGAGGGAGAAAAGAAAGGGGAGGGAGAGGAAAGGGAAGAGGGACATGAGGGCAAAAGAGCACGTTAATGTTACTTGTATTGCCGTGTTTGTCTTTTCCGACAACAAAGCTCAGGATCTTCCCAACGCATCCCAGGATTACCCGAACACATCCCACGCAAACCAGGCGAAGAAGTCGGCCTTTCGGCCACCAAGGCACAAACCAGGCACAAAACGAAGAATTTTTTTGAGTTTGCTACACGAGCACAACTCAGCAGTTAGATTTGCTCCTTGTAAGTTTTCCACCGGTAATCGTTCACCTCAATCGACGCACCGTACTCGTACTATTTCTCCTAAGTCCCACCACAAAATAGGCTGCAGCACCCCCAACCACACCCACTACACATGATGGAAAGTATAATGCATCACGCTTTCTCGTGCGCCTGAAACGATGCCGTCTAAACTAAGCCGCTGTCAGCACCAATTCACTTGTTCTCTTGAACACAGATGTATACCGTCGTACAGTATGTACGATAGGGAGCTGATTTTGCCATAAACCAAGCCGCGCTGTTGCATACACAACCTGATGCATTCATGATTTCCCGTTGTCGATATCCTTATTATATTATAAACAACGACGAGGTACTTTATTGTGGAATGTATGTCGCTGGAGCAGCAAATAGAAGCAAGGTTACCAGCCCCTGCTAACAGCGCTCAGAGGATTGCCCGCAACGCCATCTGCACGCACATATGTCTCCATTTGTCTCCCTCCTGGCCTTCGCTCATGCATGGACCAGTTCTTTTTGCATTTTTATTGCCATTACGTTGTTACGTTATAGTTCCCTGAAGGCCTGCCTACCCTCTATTTGCTGCAATCCATGTACAGCACGCAGGGCTAGTAGCTAGCTGCTGGGGAAGTAGTGACACCGACATCGTCTGTAGCTACTCGCCTTTTTGGCTTCTGCCAGGACAGCTATCTATCCGGGGCAGCCTGTACGTACACGCCTACACTGCGTGAATCGAATACACACGCACATCGAGCCGCATATGTGAGCAAGTGCAGTAATCAAGTACTTACAGGGGTAACAAGTCAGGCGAACTACGAGCGCAACAAATAACTAGCCATCGGATTACAGAGTGAAGAAATTGCAGCTACCAATGTTCGCCACTACCTTTAAGGTCGTAATGGGCACACATCGTATGAGCAGTACTGCCAGTGGTCGCATCAGTCGCCGCCAGCATCAGTGGGACTACGACTGCTGCAGCCTGCCGCCAGTTCCCAGGCAAAGGTCATCTAACTGTGGCTTCCACCGCCACTTGCAGCTGCGGAGGCTCTGCTTGCCCACCACCACAAACCTCCTGCTGGTGGTGTTGCTGCCGGTGGTGCTGCTGCTGAGTGTGCAAAAGGGAGCATCCGGCACCTCATCACCCCCTCCCCCCATGCCGCCCGTACCCCCCTGCGGTCCAGCGACTGTCCTCTACCAGGATGGTGTCCCTGTCAGCGCTATTCGGACTCCTGTCCTGGCAGTGGCGACTGGCCAGGAGATCAGCCCCGCGTATATTTTGCAGGTTATGGATACGCAATATGGTGACGGATTTCATTTCGATGGAACACCAGACATCTTAATAAGCTGGCAAGGATCAGTAGAGTACAATACGACTTTTGGCATGTTATCTGAAGCCGAATTCAATGCATCGTACAGCGGCAGTGCAGGCTGCGTTCCCCCAGTCACAACCAGCGATCCGTTGGGCATTTGGCTAGTGAGGCCCGGAATAACACTCGCCATCCCCCTTTTCTATGCTACACGCACCGACTACTCCAGCTTGATTCAACTCTGTGGGCCCCCAACCACATTCTACTCGTTTGTTTCCGTGTCCGATGTAAACGGTAATGTTGCTTGGGCATCAACTGACTGGGTGGCTGCCAATGATGCTACCAACCCCATCTGCCCGGACTCCCCCACTGCCTGGGGCTATATCAAGTTCGGCATAAGCTACTGCCCGTGCCCTGCTCAGCCCCCGCCGCCAAGTCCCCCACCTCCGCCCCCCATGCCGCCTGTATCATCCTGCGGTGTCATAACGACAAAAAGCCAAGGTGTACCAGTGTCGGGTATCCGGGCCCCACTTCGATCCAGCCGGACTGGGGAGGAGATCGGCCCGGCGTTTATTTATATTCAACCTGACCCCGAAATCACTGCACCAATTCTTGCCCTTGGCTTTCCAAAGCTCGTGATAGGATGGCAGCAAGATAGTACCATCATGGTTTGGGGAAACATTTTCAACGAGGTCGAATTTCAGAGCTTGTATAATGGCAGCACCGGGTGCCGTGATATAAGCTACTACAGAAATGGCTTCAACGGTCTACAACTTTGGCAGGGTCAAAACATCACGATCCCTTTAGCTTACCTAATTAGTAATCTGTTTTTTAATCCGCCGTGCCAAGATTATACGTTTTATGTTGTAATCTATGCAACAAGCATATTTCCCATGAATACATCCAGCTTACTGCCCGCCTGGGCAGCAACTGACTGGGTGGCTGCCAATGATGCTACCAACCCCATCTGCCCGGACTCCCCCAATGCCTGGGGCTACATCAAGTTCGGCATGAGCTTCTGCCCCTGCCCGGCTCCCCCAGACGCTCCACCTCCACTTGCTCCAATGCCACCCAGCCCGCAGCCATCGCCCAACCCGCCATCGCCCGCCCCACCATCGCCCGCCCCACCATCGCCGTCCCCACCATCGCCGTCCCCGCCATCGCCCGCCCCACCATCGCCCGCCCCACCATCGCCGTCCCCACCATCGCCGTCCCCACCATCGCCCGCCCCACCATCGCCCTCCCCACCATCGCCCTCCCCACCATCGCCCTCCCCACCATCGCCCTCCCCACCGTCACCCTCTCCACCATCGCCCTCCCCACCATCGCCCTCCCCACCATCGCCCTCCCCACCGTCACCCTCCCCACCATCGCCCTCCCCACCATCGCCCTCCCCACCGTCGCCCTTCCCACCACCGCCCTCCCCACCATCACCCTCCCCTCCTCCCCTCCCACCCAGCCCGTCATCACCGCCGCCACCGCCACCACCCCGTTTGAGGCCGCCACCCCCCCTGCTCCCCCCACCACCAACTCCACCCGGGCAGCTCTCTCCAACCTCCCAGCCCCCCTCTCCTCGTACCCAGCCCCTTTCCCCGCCCCCTTCATCTCCGCCATCTGTACAACCATCTCTACCACCACCATCTCCACCACCATCTCCACCACCACCATCTCCATCACCACCATCTCCACCACCATCTCCACCACCATCACCACCATTAACATCATCACCACCATCACCACCATTAACATCATCACCACCATCTCCACCACCACCCGTCCCACCGCCGCCTATTCCACGTACTTCACCCGCGCCACCGCCTCCACACCCATCGCCTCCCAAGAGCCCCAAATCCCCCAAGGTGCCCAGCCCACCAAAAGCGCCCAAAGTGCCCAAAGCGCCCAGCCCACCAAAGGCGCCCAAGCCCCCCAAGGCGCCCAAGGCACCGCAGCTCTCACCCCCACCCCCACTCGGCGAGGACAACACCTTCATTGTGGACAACTTCCCCTTCTTCGCGTCCTGCAGTGTCCGTGACACGAATCTGCGGCCGCCGTATCGAGCATCGACCCCAACAGGGCCCTTGAACGTCACCTCCACCACCGCCACCTACTGCTTCCATCTGGTAGCCACGAACAGCAGCGGCAGCCCCTGTGCGGGAATGAACATTAACCGACTCGAGTTTATCGTTAGTAAGTTAATTGGGCTGGGGCATGGAGAGCAGGAGTAGGATAAATGAGTCATAGATAGATTGGGTGGGCTCAGCACATACATGCTATGCTACCGATGCAAAAACACGTGCTGCCGGCCCAAACTGGTTATCAAGTTCATGATGCATATGTAATGTAATGTGGATTGGCTGCCGCATTCATAACATGTATATAGTTGAGGAACCGTCCATTTTCCAAAGGCTCCGCTGCTGCTGATGCTGCTGATGCTGCGCGGCCCTGCCGACCAGAGGGGTTTAGCAGCCTGCCTCCTGCCGCATCAGCCCCACTGCCATAAGCGTGGGACCTTTTCTCATCAAAACACACATTGATTATGCATGTATAACTTTTTCTACATTTTCTGGCTTGTTATGTCAGTTAGCTTCTAAAAGCCATGTTATTATGAGCCTCATGTAGAAAAGTGGTATCAGAATGATAATAACAATAAATATTCACGGAAGGCAGAAGTTCGTTCGGACTTTGGATTGAGCGTCTGTAAATTTACGGTCTACATACAGACCGTCCCATAATAGGTACATAGGACCTTTAAATAGATAGTACATACGTCGTGGTTTAGAATGGTCCATAGCTAGGTTCGTGCCATGGCATATATATTAGGCAAGCGTGGAATAGATGGTTTGTAGAAACTGCCCACCCGAATTCAAACTGACTCCTGACGTTGATTATTATTCAGGATTACTACATCAGCGTCTCATAAGACAAACGGTGTCCCGTCCTCTCCTACCGGTATTTGCTGATGTTATTCTGTATGTGAGAGCCTACCTGGTCTCTTAGTCAAATTTAGCGACTAGACCACTTATGAAGGTGTTGATAAACACCGGGGGTTTCCCTTGGGGTCTTATAGTCGCTTGCAGTCCGTCTGAGTCGCACCTTCCGGAGAAGAGTTACAACATCGGTCTGGCCATGAACGGGCAGACGTGTACGGGATCGTTACAGCTATAGCCGTGGCCGTGTACTGCTGAGTACGGCTATAGCCACACGGATTACGAAAGATAGTCCTATGTCCTGCGTGTACAATATTTTGCCTCGATGATGGAAGGAAGGAAGGAAGTCCGTACTCGGAAATATCCTAAGTCCTGGGCTAGGGTCTTACGTTGTATGTACCCATCGATATTATTATCCCATACCGATGTGCGTCGGCTAGCTAGCATGCTATGGCTTTGCTAACCTTGTTGCCTACCTTGCTACCCCACCCTCTGCCGCATGCACTGCTTTGTTTCTGTCTGTGCCACTAATAATAATATAACAATGTTTGTATTTGCATTTCACCCCCCCTTACGTGCATCGAACCTCAGACAGCACTTGTGTCAACGAGGAGCCCAAGGCGCTACGTGCTGCCACCGTCAACGGTAATTCAGTTTACCCGCTTTTCAGCGCCAGGACCTGGAAGGGCGAGTTGTATGGCAATATGGCGTTCCGCCGCCTGAGCGATATCTTTCCCACCACCCCCGCCGGCGGCTATTACATCTGCTTGGAGCTGGGCAGGACCAGTCGCTGCAGTACACCTGCAGGGCTGTGCCACGGCCGCAGCAGCTGTGTGTTCGCGATATCGGACAGGGACTTCACCTGCTGTGCCACGAGCCAAGCGCCGGTCTCATGATGTATGAAGCAGCCGCTGCAGCTGCAAACTGCGATGGGCGGGTGTAAATAAAGCATATATAGCTTCAGGGGAGGCGTTTTTAGAGATGTGCAGTAGTAAATATAGCACCAAGGTGCGCGCATGATGCATAATTTGCCCCAGCCAGTGGGCCATGTTCAAGACCGCTTTGGAAAGCAGGACTTTATATATATATATATATATATATATATATATATATATATATATGTATATATATATGTCTGCTATATATGTCTGCTATATGTATATATATATGTATACATATATATATATATATATATATATATATATATATATATATATATATATGTTTGCTTTTGTCCCTATTGCAAGGTTCCGTGGCTTTAAGTAAAGCTTAGCTTAGCTGGCTCGCTTTAATCGGTGGCTGCTGCTGGTGACTCTATCATGTTGTGGCGCTTTATTCGCCTTACAGCGTTAGTCGCCACGCGACTAGGCTGATCTACGAATAGTTCACGGACGTTTATGAATACGTAAAGTGTACTGCAATTAAGGGATCGACACTCAGTGGGGGCTCACGCCCTAACCGAACAGACAACCTGGAACAGACACCGGCGATATAACCAGCCGTCAGAAGGAACATTCTACGACAGAAGGCGTTGCGGCCTCCTAAGCAACGAATATTATATTATATATACTCGGGAGGGAGTCTGTTGGGTCAAGACTTAATAACTTAAACCCTACTTACTTAGGAAAGAGTCCGTGCTGTGACTTATCGATTTTCATATCAAAATTACACGCTAACAAACTGGAAACTCCGCTTACCAGCTGATTACCAGCCTATAATATTTGTTGTACCGAGCTTTCCATTTCTTCCCAGCTAGTAAACCTCTCAAATCGCGCCAGCCAGCCAGCTTTCCGACAGGGGAAGGGAGTTAGCAGTGGATGCCCTTGTAGCAACACCGCTACCCTGCTACTCGCGGAGCCATACCCACACAAACTGGAAAAACGTTGGATGAACACACCTGGTGGTCGGTTCTTGCACCCACGCATATCTCCTTTGTCAAGGCGAGTCTGCTGGGACCCAACTAATTAAACTATTGCACGGGTTGCATGGGCCTCAACCAACTAACCGCCACAACCACCACCATGGAGTCCACTAGGAACCCCCGGGATGATGTGATGTGTGTGATGTACGAAATCCCTCTGGTGATGGCGGTTTTGTGGTGTCCATGCTTCATCGCCAATAAAAGAAGGATGAAGCTAAAGCTAAGGAAAGCTGACTTATGGCAGAAAGGATGTTCATGTACCGGAGAGCAGGTTCCCCCAGGGGAGGCTGTGAAACACAGCGTATCCGTCACATGCATGTTACAGATCTAACGACACCAGTGGGCCCACACATGTCTGTCGTTACATACATACATACATACTTGGATACATGCTCCATTTTTTTACGTTTTTTTCCATGCATGATATACCAAAAGCCAGCGCACCCCGACGTGTCGTACACGCGTCGCAGAGAGGGCGATAGTCTTCTGGCTTCTTGATGCGATGTATGACAGCTGCAACCACACAGGATGACTTGCCGAAGCGGAAGAAACGCAAAGACACCCGTCGCAAGTTCCTTCCTTCAACCACAAGCGTACGACAAAAGTGCCCATACTCCTGAACCGCTGAGAACGCCGGAGCATAGAAATGTCTAAATACCAAAATGCGGCATGTCCAGGTATCGCATCAGCGACGCAAGATGGACAGGATAAACCTTTCTAGTACAGAATAAATAACCGAAACCCGCACTGGTCCCCTGTGCAGTCCACAAACATGCTCATTGCCACCTACTCTGCTCAAAGGCACCAACCCTAGCTTTTATAGCCGTTTCTACCCGTTTACAAAGTATGGAGGGACACCGCTACGTTAGCGATGGAGACCTGGCGCATATCCGACTGAATTACAACCCTCGTCGATGTATCCCTATATCGATTAATATGTGTCACACACAACAACCCCCCCGACTCGTGTTTGTCCAACATCACGCCACCCAATATGCCACATAATTTTTAAAAACTCCTGCCTACCTCCCCTGCTCCAGCTCATCATCATTACATAAGGCCACCATCCGTATAAGGAAACCGATCCAAAGAGATAATACGTTCACCCCACACAGCGCGCGCCTTCATCAATCCATTTTGGCCAAAGGCAGCCGGTCGGTCGTTCAACTATCAGTACGTATCCATATACATCCGTACTCAGTACCCAAGGCCACAAGGGGCCCAACCCCACCAAGTGTCGAATGAAACCCGGAGAAGGCCAAAACCCCAGACGAATACTGCAAGCTAACATTGCCATCCAAACAAATACCAATGCTTTTCCCCTTACCGGGTATATCCCACGGGCCCCCGCCCATTCCACGTGACGTTCCGGGTGATGACGTCAACGTCGCGTCTGGATGTTTGTCCGTTGCCCTCCAACCCAATCAGAAGCCCAATTAGGAGCAAGCGGGCAAACAGACACACAAACAGACACACAAGCACACGATATAGATTTGCGTAGACCACGACACCCAAAGCTAAATCATACAAGTAAACCACTGAACAGGGAATCGCTTTCAAAGCTAAATTAGCAATATTTCATATCTTTATTAAGATAAATTGTAATTCGCGCCTCGACCTTTCAGACCAAATGCGTGTTCCATTCGCCGCTCGCAAGTTGGTGCAGATTTGGTTTGTTTGTTGATCAGCTCCAATGAGAAGCATTCAACCAACCAACCAACCAAACTGCGCAAACCCCCAACGTCTACCACAAACCCATCAAGCCAGATTATTGCCGGCGAGTTTTTTTTTGCAAAAGGACTGCAAAGACTTCCGCCAGAACAGCTCCCGAAAATAAGGGGTAGTATGAAAGCGACAGCTGTCTGGCAGGGCCCATTCATATACCTTCGGCTTTCGCCGTATGACCAAATTTCCTCAATTCGTACACCTCAAAAAAATACAGCTTCACTATCGCCGAGCCCTCCAGGAGCCAAATTAGGAAGTCACCTTGTCATCAACAACAACACGCTTGGATCTAGTCAGCCGTTTACTTCTGGTTAATCGCGACAACAAGACATGGCCGACATGACAAGCAGTACGTACTATGAAAGACAAAAACATTTCCCACCCGGCCCGCTCGCTGATATGGGATATCAGATCCTTCCGCAACACACACACACCCCTTCACGCACACACCCCGCATGCAGACACGGCCTCAGGAAAACGAACAGATCATGAGGCCATCTAGGAAGACAGATAAACCGACAGAATCCAGACAAAAGAGAAAAAGAGGGATAGTTTGTTATGGAAACATTATCAAAAAGGAAAGAAAGCAGTCAAGGAGCCATCAAATGCAAGTCCCCAACAATAATATCGATTCCCCGGAGGACTCTTTTTAGTCTTCGCACTGCGGTCACCAAGGGGCCCGCAGCACTGCACACAGAAAATATTTTTAGAAAACATTCTCAGGGACAGTCATAACATCCAATTCGATTACGGTGGCGCCCGGCCAGCAGCTCACAAAGCACCTTATGGTCAGATGCCGCGGCGCCCCCCGCCGCCGCCAGCTCCCAGCAATGACCACACACAAGCTGCGACGCACGCGGCGCGTACGGCCACAACGTGGAAATACACCATATCGAGGGCAGCAGGAGACTAGACGAGAATAACCCCCCCATGTGGGACAAACAAACAAACCGGAATGGGCGCCGGGTAACGGCCACTGTAGAGATGCCCCAGTTGGCACGCAACAAGCGAAAAGTAATCCAATCCAGGACACCATTCAGACCGCTGCCGTACAGCGCAACTCCCCCCAATGTCTAGACAACTAGCCATGTCATGGACAGCAAGCCAAGTCCCCCGGCACCGGTGAGGAAAAACCTTTTCCAACCAAAAACGTCTAGTGGTAGTAATAATAGTAGTAGCAGTAGTAATAGTAGTAATAGTAGGAGCAGGTGTAGGGGTAGTAACAGAAGCAGAAGCAGTAGTACTCCACATCAGCGCAAAACCGATTTGCCAAATCACGCGCTAAACACCCCCATAAAAGTAGCTAAGACACGTAAAAAGATATCCCTGATCCCCCGGGTGGGCTTCGAAAACCTCCATAACGGCAAAGTAAGGCCTTCTGCGCCAGACGGAGTGCAAAATGGAAGTCCCACCCGAGCAACAGTACTTTGCACTTGAATCAGGGCTGGCAGGCAAATTGCAGCCTAGCCATGTATTACCTTAATCGTGGCCCATCCGTCTGATTTCCGTCGGACCTCAGCACTTGCGTCTTCTTCTCATACACACACAAAAATATTCAGACACATAGACAGACAAACCACATGTTCCCTTTCCCCCGCCCTCCATCCCTTCCCCTTCGTCCCCATCCACACCATTCCCCAAGCTAGGCTGCGAAATGCACCAGCATGTGGAGGTGAGCAATCCCCAACACTACGAAGCGCTCACATACATCTTAGCGCAAGGTTTGATTTCTCCAAAAGACAATCATATAACAAAAACCACAAGTACAGCACTCGTGAATTACCAGTCCGCGTGATACAGCAGGCATCACAACACGGCATGAATACAAGGAGGAGTACCTTGCTGCTGATTTTCCCCCTCCCCCCGCCCATCCCCTCTGTCCCCGGCTCACCAAATTTCATGTCCAACACGGGAGGATCGATTCCAAGCCCAACCCCTAGGCAACAGCGCCGCAAGCAGCGGCGATACGACCCAAGAATCCTAAAACCCAAAACACCGAACCACGAAAGGTGCGTCACGGTCAATTGTACCCCCAACACCAACCCTAAACCCCTGGAAAACCTACATCGTTCATCGGTATTGAGGTCTAGCAACCGTGTTGCAATCCAAATGTTGCAAGTGCGAAGGGCAGTAAGCACCAGGGGACAATGTCTCAACCTAAAACGATTGGGAGAACCAGCACATGGGATCACGTCCTCCCCTTCCACGGCTCATAGCCGCAGCCTTCAGCTGCAAAACCGAATCCGACACTGCACTGCACGGCTTCGTGACTCCCCAGTGACTCGGCAGCTCAGTGGCACACATCCACCCATGCATCCATCCATACAGACATACAGACAGACAAAGAGAGCCAGGCTCATAATGACAGATATGTAGCTAGACCGACCGGCAGACATACAGATGTTCGTACAAAAATCATGCCGACGCACACGCGTTTCCATCGTCCGCTTCGGCGACCTTTCGACACCTTTCGAACTGCTGCTCCTCTCCCCTCTCAAACACAATGGCACCATCCATCCTCGTGCTCCCTCTCCCCACCCGCCCCTCCGCCAACACGCCTCAGAGATTTCATCCAGCTCTCCACTCACATACACTAACCAAAAGAGAGAAAGAGAGAGAGGAGCACCCACTTCGCTGCACCCTAAGGTCGGCTGCCGCCTCACATAAATATGACACTCGCCAGTTAGGTAGACACCCCCCTCCTGCGCGCGCCGGCATCCCCCCTCCTGCATCCCCCCTCCTGCACACCTGCCTGGGCCCCCCTGCTCGCAACAACGCGCATCCGAGGATTGCATGCGACCACTCCCATTTCTTTGTCGAGAGCGTCGAGAGCAGAAAAAGAAGACTTCATCGTCCGAACGGCAATGCCGTACGGAGCGGACACCGCTGCCCCGCACTGAACACCGCTGCCGCGCACTGGTCCCGAGTGTACCCGGGTGAGTGGGCGGGGAGAACGCAAAAGCAAGCGGGACCACCTTTTTTAAGTTGCCGCAGAGCCGCAGACCTTCACAAAGCTCGCGCCCGCGCGGAATCGAATACGGAGGCCACAACCAGTGCCCCCAACACACCCACACGAACATACCGACACACAGACAGACATGTAAGCAATACATACGCACGTATGATCAGGCAGACAGACAGACAGAAATACATCAGGTAAAAAGATAGGTACGGATAGTACCATATGGCCCGCAGACCTAGGCAAACAAGATCATAAAAGAGTCCGTCACGTGAAAACGCCGTCACGTCAAACCTCGAGTCCCACTAAAGCGTCGTCAAACCCCACGAGCCACCGGCCGCCCCCATGATGAGAGGACCTCCGGCATCCTTGTCACTCTCGACATAGTTCCACATAGGCGCGCCAACCGCCCACCCCCCTTTTTCCATTTCCTGGGAAACAAAGGAACACCACACTCCCAGGGAGAGACGGTCCCTTCCACAATTGAGCCAAAGTGCTCATTCGGGTGATCACGGGAAGAAAGCAATAGCGCGGCTGGCCATAAAAAGGCAACTGCTTTACAACAACATCAATCTGTACAGTCAGCAGATACCATCGCGAAACGTCTGTCCATGTCAATCAACGACCGTTAGTTATCAACGGACATTTAACGGACCTGTCACTAGGACCCGTACAAATTCAGTTACTGTATGTCGCTGCCTGATGACAATGTGGTACCCATATCAATATCGATACGACGCAAAGCAAACCTCACAAGAAACGAAACGAAACTAAATTTGCAACAAGTTGCACATCGAGACGGGCAACGAGATCAAGAAATTACCAGACAGCATTGCTCCGATGCGGCGCAACATCAGCACCAGCACCAGCACCAGCACCAGCAGCAACGCGATAACAGTATTTCAAAAGCACTTTCGTGATCACGTTGTTGAGGATTGCACACCAGAGGGGTGGGGTCAACTGATACTGACCTCAGACTGGAATTCAAGGCGCCGCTCCACCACCACTTGCTGCTCTTCCAGCGCCGGCTGCTGCTGCTGCTGCTGGAAAATGGCGGGAATTGGCGGCCGAGGAGAACGGCAGGTCTGCGCAGCCACCGCCAGCGGGTCAAGCTGCGGTCGAGGTGGACGTTGCGGAGCGAACTCAACACATAAAGGTAACGGCCTTTCTGCTGCTCTTCCCGCTGCTGCCGCTGCCGCCGCTGCCGCCGCCGCCGATGACGACAACGACGACACCTCCTTGTGGCCGTAGCAGTACCCCGTGTATCCTTCCCGCGACTGCTGCTCCTGGCCCGGAGAAAACGATGATGACGATAGAGACTCCGAGCAAGCCATGGAGACGGAGGCAGGGACCGAAGGCGGGGACCTCCGTGTCGGAGTCGTACAAACCAGCGGCGGCCTCGTCGAGGTATTCGCGCCTCCCGCCGCTGTCGTACGGGCGGCGGCATGTATTGCAGCGGGTACGGCACCACGACCGCCACCACCGCTGAGCCCCCCGTGCAACTTTTCCCACGCTCGAAACCGAAGCAGCATCGCGCAAGGGTGCGGCTGCGAGCTGATCTCTTGTAAAACTTGATACAGCCGCTGAAGAGATGTTCCGATTATTGTTTGTGTCGATTCCATATACCGGGTTTTACCCAGATGAACGCCCAGGGATCCACCATGAGAACCGACGGCGGTGCGGGGGGGGGGGTCAACAACGTGGTTGCGTTATTGATTCTGACGACGTAATGGGGACGTGAAAACCCACCCGCCCTCTCAAACCCCTCCAGACGTGTTCGCACCCCCGCATAGTTCCCTAGTTGTCCCATCTTACTGCCGTACAGAGCAGTACAGCACTTGCGTTGCCTACATCCTCTAGGGGTTGGACACATCACATTGTAGTGGTCGGAGGTTGTCACGGCACCCCCAAATTCCCCACCCCACTCCACCTCACAACCGAGCCCTCTCTCCCCCCCTTCAATCCCTCCCCCTCCCCTCCTCTACCCCCACCTTGACAAGCACCCCCAGCGCGTGCGGTTCCATTCCGGTGAGCTCCACAAACTCCTCCAGAGCCGCACAATGACCCAACAGCCCCAGAGACAAGTACACGGCCGCAGCGGCCAGCTGACTCGGCTTAGCGGTCAGAAATGCGGTGTCAAGCAGCGTGAGCTCCAACAGCGATTCCGCAAGTCGGCGAGCAGAGGTGGCGGCGACGGGGTTGGCCGGCAGTGGCGCCAGCCGCAGGAGGTAGTGGAGGAAGCGCAAGGCCGTCGGGACGGCCATTCCAAAGTCCAGGGTGAACAGCACCTGAGGAAGGGGGAGCCCGTACGGCACCAAGAGGTGAGAGACAAAAGGGACAAGGAGGAAACGGAAAGGAGCTGCCGAGGCCCCAAAGACAACAGAGGAGAAATACAGAAGAAAAAGTCTAGTGAGTACGGCAAATAGCCATTCTAGGCAATCTTATTCACCCGCCTTCAAACGCCCATTTACTTTCGCTTCCAGTTTTTCAGTCTTAATGAACATGTTCGTCATGACATGAATTCCCCTAGCCTGGAATATGTAGGATTCAGATCTGACAGATTCCCCCGGGAACTGCCAAAGGGGCTGTCTTAGATTCACAGCTCTAATCAACGAAGCCAAATGATAAAGCGGCCCCTCCCCCCCCCCCCAAAAAAAAACAGAACCGTAATAATACCGCAGCCGCCCACTTCCCCAGGCACCCCTTCACTCTTCATCAACTTCTCTCCCCCAACCTCTCCCACCTCCTTCTCCATGCTAGTGAGGTCCGCTGCCGTGTACAGGTTCTCCGCCATCGCCAACATGGCATTTGCGGGAGGAGACACGACCTCCTCAAACTTGGCAGCCACCCAGACGCACGCGAGCCCCAGCAACTGAAAACGGCTCCGTGGTACGGACTTCTCCGCCAGGTAACTGTCCAAATATGTGACCGTTAGAAACAAGGTTTCGGAGTGAAGGCGGAACTCGTCCCGGACCTCACCCAACCAGTCCACCAGAGTCGTTCTCATTGCGGCTGTCACCTCGGACTTAGGGACGGAGGGGGGGAAAAGGGGGGATAAAGGGGGGATGAAGCGGGGTTTTAGGGTTTTGGGTTTTAGGGTATTTGGTTTGAGATGGCGCTGGCCGGGGGAAAGGAAAGGAGAAGGGGAAGTGGGACACCTGCCCTCGGTTCCGCTGGGTGCCCCCCCTTCAGATACTCCCGTGCACGTGCGCCTCCAAACTCGCCCAACTCACCTGGACTTCAAACATGCGTTCCTGGCCTCGACGCCTCTCAGTCTGCAGCGGGACAGTAATAATGAGTCGTAATGTAATAAAGCGGAGGCGTAGGAGGGAGGATAAGAGGGCAAGGTGATCAGGGAGAAGTGGAGGGGGAATTGAGGAAAATGAGGAAGAACAAATAGTTAATAGCAGGAGCAAGCGACAGCCCAAGAGTGCGACTACTGCCAATAGCTCATGCGCGCACGCCACGCTAACACGGACTGAGGCCTTGCTTGCTTGCTTTTTATCAAACTGACCTCTCGGCTCCGCCAGTGCTCCAAGTCGCTGATTGTTTCTTTGTCGTAAGACTCCACACCTGTGGAGCAAGCAAAAAAGGCGCCGACAGCGGACAGGGGCTCCATCAGGTAAGTTTTAGCACGTTCACAGCATGCCCGTAGCGTGTGTCTCCACCCAGTCTTACCGATAGGTGCTAGCTGGGCTCGTCGCACGTCCATGTTCAACTGAATGGAAGAGACAAGCGGTGTCAACTGGCCGACAAGCTGTCTTTCGGCTTCGGCGCGAGTGTCTTAAAGCGCACCTGAGTCGCGGCGCACTGCCGGCTTTGCCGGAAGTGCTCTTGATGGCTTGGAGCCTGCTGCCTGCACCGCTTGTTAGAAGTGCCGGACGGGCGCTGCAATAATAGGGAGACGTGGCTTGTCCATTTTCGCGCCAAGGCCAGGACTGGATGCGTCTTGCCTTATATTCATTTCAATATAAGGCATACCTCAGCATCTGAAAGGTCATCTGAAGCTCCTCGTTTTGCAGAAGGCAAGGACTCCATAATTCCGGCTGGCCGGCCTTCGCTCGCGCAGGCAAATGCGCAGCTCAAGAACTTTGATCAACAACACAATCTCAAATAAACGGCCTATTTAAGGGCCTTAAGGCTGAATCGCGTTGAGGTCAGACGCGCACACAGGTGCGAACTCGACAATTTTGCGCGGTGTGTTCTTGGACCTATATTAAAGCTCTACTTTCTGTACATACCGAAAGACTTGCGCTTGCTCTGTGAAAACTGAGCCGCGTGTTTATGCTTAAATGGCCATCCCTTCGCCGCTTTGTACGATGTGGTTGATGCCCCTTGCTACCGGCGAAAACCAATGGTTATCGGTTTATACAGGTAATCTATAATCTTACCTTTGCAAGTAGTCGGTGTGTTTAAGCTCTTTGTTGCAGCTGGGCCAGTGTAGTAACACATCGCGATCACGATTTGCGCAACCAGACAATTATCCCAGGCGAAGAGCTGACAACTACGTAAACATATGGTAAACATATCGTAAAACAACATGAGTATGCCCAAGCGCTTGAAAAAAAGCATCTCGGTGCGAAAGATATCCTTGAGGCTGGTTACCACTGAACACTTGACTAACCTGCACGTCAGAGCATATTTGTGTTCACCATATATTTCTCTTACCGCAATTTGCAGCCCCTGGTGGCATGCGGACAGGATAACAATTTCCGCGTCGCGGGCTGCAGCCAGCTGAAAGGCTACTGCCATTATAGGGTCCGCAATCCGACCCGCTTGCTCGCATTAGCTTCTGCTTTTCGTGTCAGCTTAGGACCAAAATACAATAATTTTTATTTTCTTAGGGAAGATATGTCTTGCCCGTTTTCCTTGCCGAATCCTGCCGAACACAGATGCGAACAGCTCTGACCTCCGTGGCTGGCCAAGGCAACGGGTTTGCGCGTCACGGCACCTTTCATACTTACATTCGTGGGGTAAAATTGTAATAAGAGCTCCGCTGCTGAAACCATAGCGCTCTGAACCGCCAAATGCATTAAACGAGAGCGCGCATGCGGTGGCTAGTAGCACCAGCGTACCGAACAACAGAGAAGAACAGGAGGAAGAAGCAGAAGAGCCGCGTTTCCAAAACATGTCCTGCAGCCGACCAGAAGCAAGGAAACCGCTCCACCTACTCAGCATCCTGCCTGCTTTCGTCCCTGCAGCCAGCTACCCACACGTGCATGAAAACCTGCCGCCCTCGGGACCAACCGCAGTACACAACAATCAAATTAAAAAACGCCCCTTCCTTTCCCCCTCTCGGTTTTCGTCGGCCCTTCCTGCAGTCCTTCCCCAACATTCTTCCGGAAAAGCCCTAACCTCACCTTTTTGTAAATCCTAATAACTCAGAATGTGGATCAAGCCGCAGCAGTACATTTGGCTCAACCTTTATCAATCAAACTCCGCAATACTTTTTATTGTTCAACACAATCGGTTTGGGAATATGCATCGACGGTGAAACATACAACAGCAAACCTGAGCTGATAGCAACGAACATAACTAACTAACCCGAACACAGCACGTGGAATAGGACTCTGCAGGAGGGCCGATGGCTCGCGAGCGCGCGGCCATGATCTCTCTCCCCGCCAACGGTGCTACGCCTACAAATGCTAAGACACTTCGTTGGAAACGGAAACAGTTACAACAACCGAAGGCATATTGAAAATACGACATGTTTGGCGTGTGACTCGTTGTGTACGACACATACGACTGTACGATTGGCACGACCGTACTCTGTACGAGTAATGTATTATGCATTACATCGTATATTACTAATTGAGGTACAATTTGGGCCGTACAACTTACAGCGAAAACCCGCATTCAGTAGTGGCCCCTCCCCCCTTCCCCCTCCCACCTCCCCAATCCCGACCTCACTGCAAAACACATAACTTGGTGCTTTGAGCGCCCCGAGCGCATTAGGGGCCGTTAGGAGCCACCTCTATACCAGGGGTCCGCTGTTCAACTGGCCCGCCATCCCCACCTCCTCCCCCCCCCATACAGCAAGCAAATATTACCTGTACAAGGCAGCGAACGAACCAAAATATAAAATAACAACATACCAAACAAAAAATGCCAGTATCGTCCAAAAAATCCATATTCCGACCAGACTCCTCCTTGAGCTTAGTTGCAACACTGTTGTGAAGAAAGTGTAGGTGCTGAAAGAAGGGCTGAAAGAGCGCTGCGTGGGAGGGTATCCCTTCGCGTACGGCGCTTTCCTGGCCCCACCCAGTGTAAGGAGGTATGTACGAATGGATGTATCGACGTACGAACGAGCAATATGTCACAACTATCACCAGCAGAAAGCTGCCGAGCAGGAAATGAACAATCACTGCAGTAGTAGCAGTAGCAGCAATAGCAGTAGCAGTAGCAGTAGCAGCAACAGTAGTAGTGGCAGTAGCACTAGTGATTGCGGCAGCAGCGGCAGCAAGAGCAATGACACTCAGCTGGCAAGGCGCGGGGAAGTGCAAGGTGGGAGCAAGGAGAACAAAGCTGCGCGCAAAACACAAAAACATCGTTTGATAGTTGTGACCGATTCCTCCATGCAGCCCTGGGGGCCCTGGGGACCGGATCCTGCGGCAGCAATCAATACACACACACACACACACAACCACACGCGCGTATTTACTCAGTGCCTGCACACGCACATACATACATATGTATCAAATATATACATGCACACACCACACACTACGGACGGACCAACCGCATCTCCCCCGGGGAATTTCGGTATTTACAAACCCATTACAACCGCCCGCACACCCGTGCGTACGACATCCCTTCCTCCCCTTCCACCAGCCACCCCCACAGACTCCTCCTCCGGTTATGCACCTTGACGGAAGCGACATTCCCAGCTATACATACATACAAACAAACATACATACATACATACGGCTAACGATTCCATAACAACTGTATATATATCACGCAATCTACGACTAACACTCCCATAAGACGTGTTCGCTCCTACTCCTACTGCAGCACCAGCTGGTGGTGGTGGTGGTGGTGGTGGTGGTGGTAAGATTAGTTGTCGTGTCGGGCCCCCCTTCCCCCTTCTGGCTCCCCTTTGCCCCTTTTCCAGCCCTCTACCACCCAACCGGGGAGAGGGTTCATCCGCATGCAGCCGTAACCCGGTCATAATACACGGTCGCTGCTGGGGAGGATGTTCAAGCGAGCTGGGGGGGGAGTGTCTGGACACCTGACACGACACGACACGTGCAAAGTGTGTATTTACCCACTGCCGTACGTACAACTCGCGCTCTCCACCCACCCACCCACCCCCATCCAAATCATTCCTCCCCCCCCGACACCACCACACGGGGCCGCCCCGCGGTCACAGCTGCCCGCTGCAGCCCCAGCAAATTGCGGACCGCCTGGGGCTCAAAACTATCACCTCGCACTTCCAACACCTGCAGATGAGGAAGCTGCGGGAAGCTGCCGCCTCCTCCTCCTCCTCCTCCTCCCCTGCAAAAAGTCTTCTCCAGCTCTCCTACCCCGGCTCGCGCCACCAGCAGCTCCCCCACCACCAGCTCGCGAAGGCGGGAGCAATTCATAAGACCCTTAGGTGTGTTGAGGTGGGGGGGAGGTGGAGAAAGGGAAAACAAGGGGGCCGGTTAGAGGGTGGAGCGGGAGGGGGAGACTGCTGTAACGGGCCAATGGGAGGGAAATCAGAGACGTGGAAAGGAAGGGGTCGCATAAGTGCCCGAGGTCCCTATGCCCCGGGGAAAGGGGTTTGCGGAATACAAAGGGGTTTGTATGGAGGGGGTAGGGGGCCGGGGGGGGAGGTGGAAAGAGGGGAGCCGGCACCGATGGCCAGCGGTGCCGTACGCTGCGGTGCTGTACAATAATGGAGAAAATGGAGCCTTGGGGCATTAGGGGGTTACGGCCGCAGGCGGCTGCCGGCCGGGTTTGGCCCCCTCTTTCCCCCCTCCCCCCCCTCGACCTCACCCCCCAGTGTCGGGCCCCCCCCAACCCCAATTACCTGCGGCCAGGAAGTGAAGCGATTCCCCGCGATGTTTAGAACCTCCAACCCATCAGCAAACTGCGCATAACCACCTCCACCACCACCACCTCCTCCACCACTACCTCCAGCAGCAGCAGCAGCAGCAGCAGCAGCAGCAACCCCAGTGCGCCCCGCCATCGGCCCGACGGCTGCTGGTGCTGCTGCTACTGCCGCCGCGCCATTGACCCTCGGCGGCCTTATCCTCCCCATACCGCCGTCGCCGCCGCCACCGCCGCCGTACAGTGTTGACGGAGGGGAACCTCCCACGTGGGTTATGGTGGTTGTGGTGGATACAGCCGTCGTCGTCGTCGGAGCAGTAGCAGTAGCATTGCCACTGGCGGAAGTGCTGGGTCCTGGCCCTGCATTCGAACCCGCTCCGAAACCCCCTCCTGCTGCTGCAGCTGCTGCTGCACCTCCTCTTTCTGCATCTGCTGCTGGTGGTGGTTGTGGTAGTTGGGCCGGTGGTTGTGGTGGCGGTTGTGTCGTAATGGGCGCTGAGGCGGTGCTCAAGTTGCGATGATTCTGGGGAGAGCCGATCTGGGGAGAGGAGCAACGGGGAGGGTGACACGTGGCGGGTTTTAGGGTTTAGGGTTTTAGATCTGTTTTATTGATATATGGGGTGTGGTATATACTCGATGGGCCAGAAATTGCAAGTTTCGGACTTTTCAGGTGGTTGGTGCGATAGCGGCTGATATTCATATATCTTTGATGTGCTCTTCTTCACAATCATATTACACATCCCCAAGCTGCAGACAGACAGACAGATAGACAGACAGACAAAGGTATGACAGAACGATTACACCGCCGCCATCTCAACCTTGTCCCGTCCTCCCCTCGGAGGTTCCCCCTCCCTCCACGCCATCTACATCGAATGGCTGCATTACCGTACCGTACGGCACCGTACCGTACTATCTATACGGCAAATTGCACACTTACCAGCAAAGACTGTGAGGAGGAAGCCGACCAGCTGTTATTATTGTTAGTGTTGTTGTTGTTATTGTTGTCATAGCTAATATTGTTATTCTGGTGATTCGTGGCGGCGCTGGCCGCCGGGATCGGCCGCGGGGACGCGGAAGCGGAAAACCACGAATAGGTTGTGGCGGTGCTCGCAGTAGCAGTAGCAGTGGCAGTAGCAGTAGCGCTTGCAGCAGTGGTGGCTGTGGTAGGGGTGGGGGAGGAGGAGGGGAATGCTGGCCCAGCCACGGATCCCACCGGCCAGGGGGGCGCCAGTGGCAGCGCTGACAAGGAGTTGTGGTACAAGTCCAGGGAGGTGATGGAGGGTACGGCAAGTAGCGCCGCCGGTACGACAGTCAGGCCGCACTTGGCCAGCCGTACTTCCCGCAAGCAGGTAAGCTGGCTGAGCTCCAGGGGCAGACAGTCGGCGGCGGCGGCGGTCCGGGCGGCTGCATCCGGGGCCCCCACGGCACCCCCCAGACTCTGTGAGGAGGGGAGGGGTTAGGGGAGGGGAGGGGTTAGGGGAGGGGAGGGGTTAGGGGAGGGGTTAGGGGAGGGGAGGGGTTAGGGGAGGGGAGGGGTGGGGTTAGGGGAGGGGAGGGGTTACGGGAGGGGTGGGGTTAGGGGAGGGGAGGGGTTAGGGAAGGGGAGGGGTTACGGGAGGGGAGGGGTTAGGGGAGGGGAGGGGTTAGGGAAGGGGAGGGGTTACGGGAGGGGAGGGGCACGCAGGGGTTTAGGTAGGGGAAGGGAGATGAGGGGGTAAAATCACATGCGCCGTACAGGAAGTGGGGACTTGAATACATGAGCAGTCAGGCAAAAGGCAGTAGTAAAGTAAAGAAAAGCTTGTCATACGTCTGTGTTGTGGTGTTGGAAAATAAGGAAGAGTACGATAATACACGTTGTGAGGCCACTTCCACGTGTTTGCCGTACTCTTTCACCTCCCGGGGCAGTCGACCCAAACACACCACACCACACACATACATACATACACACATGGGACATAAGCCTTCCCCCACCACCTAGGTGCTGATTCTCAATGCGCACCCTCCCTCGTCTCCCTCCCTCCCTCCCTCCCTCCGTCCCACCTCGTCTATCTCCCTTACCAGCCACCCCGTCTACATCCCTCCCAACCCCCCGCCCTCCCCCCCCGCTCATCTCCATTGCCGCTCGTAACCCCCTCCCCTCCCACACCGCCATAAGCCCCACCTGGTTGTTAGATAAGTCAAGAACCTCAAGTCCAGGGAAGGCCCGCAGCACCGCCGCCGGCAGCACTCGCAAACCGCATTCCGCCAAACCCAACACGCGCAACGCAGGACAGAATGGCCAGCCACCTGCGCTCCCCCCTCCCCCGCCGCCGCCGCCGGCTGCTACTGCCGGTACTGCCGCCTCCCAAGGTTTCGAGTCCCCCCTGGAGTCCGTCAGTCTGCTCCCATCCAATCTAAGTTCCCTCAGTGAGGAGCAGCTGTCCAGGGAGGCCAGGAGCCCCTCCACCAAATGACATTGGACGAGACGGAGCTCGGTTAGTTGGGGGGCGGCGGTTGAAACGGTTGGCAGCCTGAGGCAGATGATGGGAAAGGCGGAACAAAATCACGTACGACCGATAATGATGGTGTGATAATGATGCTGCTGCTGATAATAATAATAATAATAATAATAATAATAATAATAATAATGATGATGATGGTGACGATGGTGATGAAACTCCCGATGAAACTCCCCTCCCCCTCCCCTGCCCCCCACCTGCTGATCCACAGATTGGACAGGTGCAGCGCTCTAAGGTTCATCGGGAGGGCCGGCACCGTCACAGGGAACTGGAACGTCTGCGTGTGAGAGTGTGTATTGGGGGGATATGAAGTCGTGTACGGCGAAATAACAAGCAACATGCCGTACGATGCAACTTAAGGGCTGGAATACGACAACATCTTACACCCCGTCATTCAGAGTTAGCTTAGTTAACTTCATTTTTCTTCCATTTGCATGATGTTAACATCTTTTACCGTCTCTTTCACTTTCACCCCTCGAAGGTGGTGTCGTGTCTGTGTCTGTGCGTGTGTGTGTATGGAAACGGGGGACCCCTCTCTTACCGACAAAACAACAGATGTGTCACAACAGTGACAGGACTTTGCACCCACCATCGCCAGTGCCACCACCAATACCAGCAATTGGTATGGCGGCATTTACAGCAGCTGCGGTGCCCATTCGGATACAGGAGGTACAGCACTGTACGGATATACATACATATCACCAGCATACCTTGGGTGTGAAGGATAGCCGCGTAAGGCACGTCAGACCGGACAGGTACGGCAGGGTGCCGGCCAGAAAGCCCTGCACATGCACGTGCACGCGGAAGTGAAACAAAACAAATACACCAACTTAGCTACGCAGCGCCATTCAGATACCACACGCCACCGCGACAGGAGCACGCAAAACACACACACGCACACACACTCTTCCCCCACCCCCCCACACTCGCTCCTCCAACGATCCATCCTAATGGGAGACCACCAATTAAATAGGTGAGCATTAAACCCCATTTGAAGCACTAAACCCTAAAATCAAATCCAAATTCCCCTCGTCCTCCCTTCCTCCACCTTCCTCCACCTTCCTCCCCTCCTCCTTGGCCACCAATAACACGGAACCAGGCGAAGGGAGCCAGCGTGGTCAGTTTCTCAATCAGTTCGTTTGTCCGTCCATCCGTCGGTCTGTCTGTCTGTCCGTCCGTCATCACATGACGCACTTTCCCCCTTTCCCCCGCTCCCGCCCTCTTGCCTGTTGTAATCCGTCGACATGTAATTCGCAGAGACCCCGCAGTCGACCTAACATCTCGTACGAGTCTTGCCCGCCAGCGCCTGAAGGGGGTGAGGACGGGTGAGAGATGGGGAGGTGGTGGGAGAGGTGGGGAGGAGGGGTGGGGGGGAGGAGAACGCAGGGGAGGGAGGGAAAAAGTCGAACCACGAACGAGTGAAGCTGCTGCAAGGAGGAAGAGGGAGGGGGGAGGGAGGAGGGGAAATTGTTTCCGGGTACTCATACACGTGTGTGGTCGCCATCTTCCCTCCCCCCCCGGGCTACCCCGCGTCTCCTAAACCCGTAAGGAAAACACACATGTACGAGCTGGAGATAAACCTCTGACTTGCTTACATACATACTTGCAGATACACACATACACACAGATAGAACGCGCCTCGTATTGTGTTAGGTACAGATGTCGCCGTGTAAGCGGTTACGGACGTACGGACGGACATACCAGGCTCTACCGAAGGTTCTGAGCAAGAGGCGGATGGGATGGTTTATTCCCCAACCTTAAAACTGGTGGTTCCGGAGCGGAGGTGCTTCCAGAGGCGGTTAGTTTTCCGTTGGGGGTCACAGTCAGGCAACTCCAATTCCACCACAGGCTGGCTGGTTAGTGTCAGTGCCAGCGGAGGTATCCGTATTGTCAGGTACGGCAGTGCTGCACCGCCTTTCTGGAAGAGGGGGAACGCCCGTGTCAGAACCTCCGGTGAGATGATATGTAACACACACACATACACACACACGAGGTCAGGGCACAGGGTCGCGCGCCCTCGGTCGATCAGTATTAGGGGATAGTGGCCCCTCACGCCGCTCTCCCCGCACAACGAGGAGCGTGCTTCTGCGGCCCCCCGGGTACACGGTTAGGTGCCCCTGGCCAGCGTCAGGCCCGGATCGATATGTAACAAATACATACATACACACATACACACACATACAGACACACGACCTCGTAGATGCCGTACTCGCCAGATCCTGCCCGTGCACGTGGCTCAGTGGCACATACACACACCCACATACACACTGGGTATGTACACCTCCCGGCCACCAACCGCCACTCCCCAACTAACCCCCACACGCACCGTCAGGCCAAATCAGCCGCAGAGTACGCAGACCCCGGGCTCCGCGGTTGGCAGCCCTCAGCAGGGCGTCCAGGGCACGACTGCCCTCGAAGTCGTGACTTGGGGCTGAGCCCAAGTCCAACATCAGGTGCTGCATGGCGCCGCCGTGGCTTTCTGTCCATTGCACCACCACTTTGCTTCGAAGCTTTGGAAGGGCTGAAAGAGAAGTTCTGCCGAAAGATAAAAGGAGAGAGGATCCGGTGGTCGGCGGTGAAGAGCCCGCGACTCCGTGACTTGCGGGAAGGGAGCTTCCAGCATCATGTCGCCGCCTCCGGGGCATCTCCGCATCGACAGAGATTACAACGGAGTTCCAGGGAAATTTGCCACCGGCGCCAAACAAAGCGTTCCAGCGCTTGCAGACAATGGGCAAAGTGCGACGGAACCATGCGAAGTGCCGACCTGCAGCTTGCGGACAAGCTGCTTGTGCATCAGGCCCAAAGGCCATCGCAAGGAGCTGAAATACGTGCATTAGCAAGTCGTCGGTCAGGTCAGCCCTAGCGAACGAATCATCACCATCCGCAGAGCTGCAGCTGCACATAGTCCCCCTATAGAGAGAAAATAATGCATTAGCATTATGAGTTCCCAAAGAATGTCGCTTTAGCATCTGTTACTCACAATGCCGGTTGCGACGACACGACAGAAGTGCTATGAAAAAGTGCCCAGGGCATGAGCTGAACTACTTACACACTCAACCGCACATCGAAAGCCAAAGCAGTCATCCTTTGGGCTGGAAAGTTAGTGTCGCTATTATTTGCAAGAAATCCCACACATTGCCGCTAACAATGCCGCGATTACTTCTTCGATACTCCACAACACAGGCTGCATAAACTACAAAATCAAACTGTGTGAACACCGCACTTTGTGGGTCTCGGTTACAGCGCCGTACTCCCATCCTGCATGGAAACCCCCCTCCTGCACCAGTGTCTTACGTATTCGCCTATTGCAGCCTTCGCCAACGCATGTAGTGTATTTCGTTCCCTGTGGCTATATCTACTTTCCGATACCATCGTTGCTCGTGCACGTCGCATGAGCGAATACGTGCTTGCCACGGCGCAGACGCGGGCCACTGATGCGCCGATACCTACCAGGGCAAATCAGGTCACCATTAGCCGCACTATATTGACGGCGGCATCAATATTCACGCACCACTTGACTCCACGTTCTCGCAAAGCTAGCGCCGGGCGGCTGTTTATGTTATGAAATGTATTGCTAGGTGGCTAGCTCTTTATGCCATTTGCATGCGATGCAGAAGAAAAGTTTCGTTGGTACGGCTTCAGTCGCTCTTTCGCGTTTTCGGCGCCGCTCTGAAGCTTGAATCGATTGGCGCATCTCAAGCAAGCACAGCGAATGATATTACTGAAGTCCGCAACGGAATACCGGGATTGGCTTTGAGTTGGAGACGGCGGAAAAAGCGGGACGGCAACGACCTCGCTTCGAAACCGGGTTTCGAAGCTAAAAGTGTTAAGAGCAGTACGACACTGTTAAAAACTCTTAACGCACCGTACCATTGATGCCGGTACCCTTTCACACCTTTTGTTTACTGTTATCGTCTTTCCCATTAACATGGTCGAAACACTGTAGACTGTTTCTACTCTTGCAACAAGGTTTCGCTTCGGTACTCGATTTTGGCGGCTGTAGTTAAGCACACGGCAATGCGCCTCGCCACCTCAAACGCCGCTCACACATACGCATTACCTCCTGTCCGCCGTGGGAAGGGCACGTGGTACAGAGGGCATCGCATACGGGCATTCCGCCTGGCACAACCCCCCTAGCAGAGAGTGCAGCTAAACGAAACATAGCCCTGTCTATTGAGGAACAGATTACCAACACAATAAAGGAAGTGTTGCAAGAATTACAAAGACTCATCTCACTACCTGGCTTTGTTCAAGTACTGTTATACTTCTTTACGATGTTGTCAAGCAGTAGTAATCCAATCCGCTCTGCACCTGTGCGATCGATGGACGACACCAGTTTTGCGTCATGTAGACATGCGCATGCGCTCGGCCCTGTAGGAAGTGTCTGAGGTCCGAGCCAACAGGCCACATCTATTATTGACATTCCTAAGCTGCCGTATCTTCCCATGTAACACAACAAAACACACACGTATACAGACTCAACTGGATAATAGCTTTAAATACAACATATGCATGAAAATCTACCTAAACCATGGTGTGACTTTTCAACCTCCAACCAGACACCGCACCTGTAAACGTTGACTTGTGCGTTTGTATGTACGTCTGCATGTGCATCCAGCAACCAAAAAATGGTCATCTCTCGTAAGCATGGAAGTGAATTATTACTCTTAACGTAATCTAGCTCATCAGATCAGACCAGGCACTGCAAAAAAGGGCAAAAATATCGCACATCATATCGTACAGAAACGAAAAAGGAATCCACGACACCACCACATTCACCTGGTCGACGTCACTCACGGTAACGTACGTCGCCGCACTCGAGCAGTGCTAAGAAAACAAATGGCTCGCATCAAGAACGCTAGGGAATCGATTAACTGTTGCTATAAATAGGGTAGCAAGCACCTCGCACCTCCTTCCCCTGGCCCCCACACCCACCAACACCGCCACATGTACAGCAGCTCCTCACACAAGCCCATAACCACAGCACTTTTTAATAATACAGAGCCACAGCGCTTTCTATCAAAACAGGTGACACATGATACATTCATGTATATATACAGACACACATCCTGAGATGCCCCCGTTCCACAAGAGGAGGGCGACCACCGCCCCTAGGGCCCTCAGAACTGGCGCCGTCGCTTTTCAGTTGCTCCACTCAGCTCCACAGCAGCCTGACACGCCAAGCCACCAATACCGGACTTCCGTCGTCACGGTACAGTAAATTCATTAAGAACACCTCAAACCACTGTGTCACCTTACCTTCGGCAGCATTCCCGAGACACAACAACACAACAAAAAAGTACAAAAGGAGCTGGCTCCGCTTCCCCCGAAGCACACACGGATGACAACACACGATGGACGTGAGCACCGACGACACTGTTGGGTTAGTGCTGGGTAGGGTACCGAGTTAGTCATCAGCCGGTTTGGACCTACCATCCATCGCACCGGCACCGAGTCTGGCAGCGCATTGCTGCACCGCCACGAGCGGCGCCCTTGCCACACACCTCCACCACATGGGCGCCACAATGACCTCAAAACTCAGATTTACCGCTAATATGGTGATGACCACTGTATGCCGTATCTACTGCCGTGCAAGTCAAGCATTGCCAAGATACACCCGGTGGTGGTGCGCAACGCACCAGCCAAGCCCTAATTGTTATCGCACCAATATACGCATAATGCCGGACGCACACCGTTCTACAGCACCCACCAACGTTATCATGACCACCATGATCATGATGATCATGATCATCATCACCGCACCAGCCATGCGTCACGAAGCTGCGTGTACAGGGGCTGTCCATGACACACCCGCGTAAGAGAAAAGTGCGTGCAGGTGCACAAGCCGCCCGGGCCGGCCCCCCCGGCATCGCTGCGGGTGGTCTTTAAGACCCAGCAGCCATCCGCCTCACTGACTAGGCTGCCCTGTACGACCAACCCGTAGTACTGCGTAGGGCCACCTGCGTCGCAAACCTCTCCTTGAGGCAACGTGCTGCTGCGAGTCGGTGGGACTACAGCCGCTAAAGCAGTAGCAGCTGTCGCGGCGAGTTGGGGCCGATGCTGCTCCTGCCGCTGCTGGGCTTGCTGCTGTCCTTGATAACCATGTTGCTGCTGTTGTTCGAGTTGTTGTTGTTGATGATGAGAATGGTGATGGGGGGTAGGCGCAGGTGATGCAGATTCGCCGCTGCAGCATGTGCCCACCTGACCCACGATGATCTCAATGTCGTCGTCAGGCCGCGACGCCGGCGGCGCTGGAAAGGCGGCGGCTGCGGCGGCGGCGGCGGAGCGTAGTAATGTAGAACGAAGAGTGCTAGACCCGTCAGCGACGTTGCTGATATCTTCGCACTCGTTGTAAGTGTCGCTGCACAGCGGCGTTGAAGTCGAGCAGCAAGTTCCTGTCGACGGTGAAGAAGGCTGAGGTGCTGCTGGTGGTGTTGGTGTTAATGTTGTCGCAGTGGATTGGAAGCCCAGTCGGCGACCCGAAGCGGACGTTGCCTCCACCGCCGATGCCGTTCTGGTCGTTGTCGTCGTCGTCGTCTCCACCGCCGTTGCCGCTGCTGCTGCCGCGGCGTATACGCAATGCTTGTCTGGGGAGGAAATTGGTCGAACTAGCACAAGGCCGTTGGCGCCGCTGCTGCGCACTCGGGAGGACAGCTCGGGCCACCTCTGTGACGGGGCAGCGCGGGGGAGGGCCAGCAGCAGAGGTGCAGGCGAGTAAAGGCAAGGCGAGGCGAGCGGAGGTGCGGTGAGGACGGCACGCATGTATGCTTGAGTTTAGCACACACGCGCAGTTTGGCGGATCAACGTACGATACTTCTAAACCCAGCCAAGTGGCCCACATGCCAATCGTCCTAATAAAATTAGGGAGAGGAACTTGGTGTTGAGTGACGAGTTCGGTGACTCGGTTGGGTTTCCTGCGCCCAGGGGTGTTATCGACACCCAGCTCCATTTCTAGAAACCATCGCTGGTTTCTCGTTTCATGTCTTCTCATCATTTTGCTTCTCGAAAAGTGAAAAGTCCTTTGCCGCTCCCTTCCCCGACCCTCAGAGACTACAGGAGAGTATGACGACACAGGGTGCGACAGGATATATTAGCCCCCAGCGGCTCTGTGCACATTTCCTCAGTGCCTCCAACTGAGGACAGATCGATCTGGGTGCCGTTCGAATCCGCAAATGACGCTTCGCGGGAACCTCTATCCCCGGCACTAGAACCAGAATAGACCAGTGCGCGGCAGCTGAAATAGGGTGGTACCTGAGGGTTATCAGCAAGGGACTGGGAAATGGACGTCGACTCGAAGCGGTGTTGCACGCTGCCGCTGCCGCTGTGGCTGCTGAAGACAAGCTGTAACATGGGGCCCCGGCCCTGCTGCCCGAGCGCGGAGACGATGTGGCGTACGCAGGAGGGCAGCCAGGTGTGACTCCCTATAGCCAGGCCAGCTCCTTTGCTGCTGGTATTCACGCTCTTGGACAAGGCAGTGCCGCCGGCCGGTGCGCTCCTGAGCTCCATCAACGGGTAAGGCGATTGCGCAAACGCCGGCCTACGTAACACATGTTCACCAAGTAAGTGATGAAAATCGTATACCTCCTGCTTCTTTCCTGCTTGCCTGCGCGGCATACCGACCTGCTCAAGTCGGAACATTGTGGTGACCGATTTGGCGGCAGCGAAGGCGCGGCTTTGGAGCTGCTTTTATGTCTGCTCAGACAGACCGGACGATGCGGGCTGCATGTAAGCGCCACCGGACTTGCCCGTGGGTAAAGAGCACGATGCGGTGGAGACATGGCAACAGACCAGGACAGAAGATTTTAAATTCCCTGGTAAACACCTAAAAGAATAAAAACGTGATTAGGTCGATTTGTGTAGCATACAAGGCGTCGTCTCCGGGCAGGACTGAAGTGTCCTTAGCAGACAAGACAGCAATACGCTAGTAAACTATCCCTTGCAAAAGCTTGGGATTACTTCTGTCACGAGACTCAAATTATATCGAACAAGGAGTTCCGACGACCAAGAGGCACGCGCCGGGCACGCATCGTCGTACTCGATGGTTTCCGTCAAATGACGACGTCACTACCATGCTACATGCAAGGGAAATCGCCGTACACTTAGGACCACGCGAAGATTTTTGGGTTCTGCCTGCATGGGACTAATTATTTAGATCAGCATCCCACTCCTACTTCTCAAGCTCTCATCTGCTCTCGCCTCCTACCTGGCCGCTTCCTATCCGAGCTACCGAGTAGCTTAGTTCGTCAAATTTAGATCACGCACAGCTCCAATACTATTACTTAGGATGAAATCATTACAAAGGGGACAGGGAACCGATACACGTCACCGTAGCCGTACATGCCAGCGGTTGACAAAAAAACTAACCGAGGCCACGTACTCCCAGCAAAAAGCAGGGAGCCGTGGATTCGCAAGTACCAAAAAGTCCACAAATTCCCATGCCCTCAAAAAAAAGAAAGGGCACAGCGTACACCCGGACTATCGGACAGGGTGCGAGGACAAGAAGAGGAGCCAACCCTCAACGCGAGCCGAAACGCACGCAAACTCCAGCGGGAGCCAGGCAGGCGCAAGTACCCGGGGGGCCCTCGGGCCGAGGGCCACCTATACCAAGCCTACACCAAGGTTGCCGCCAGCGGCTTAAAGCAGGGAGCCCTGGGCTAGAACACATACTATCGCGACGTACGCACTGTCAAAAAAACATGTAGGTTGGCTTTTATAGAATGCATGACTACCGTACCAGCGCGCACAATTGGTGATTTGCTTTCCGGTGATTGCAAACAAGACCGTCTGAAATTTGCTTTCACGTGCGCATTTTGGGGAGGGCGTCTCGGATAAGTCGGTCTTAATTAATCCTTGGTTCCAAATTGGTGAAGACCTGCCGGTGCTCTTGAGCAAGGCAAGGGTCCCCAAACATAAACTGACATGTAGAATGATCATTCGCTTATGTACAATATGCGACAGACGGACCAACTAGCTTTGGTGCCTGCGCGCCAAGGCGCTGGCTGTTATGAGCACCCGGACCGAGTTTCGGTGCAAAGGAGGGTAGTTGTTCCTAATGCTAACTTGTAACGACTGTTCCTAATGTTACTTAGTCCGGGACGAAAGGGGCCGAGAGGATAGATCCGTATACGGTGCAGATTCCTGGCTCCGGAACCCACGCGGTCTGATCGACAGGCAAACACTTAAAATTGTTACGTTGATTACACAAGTCAAAGTAGGAGACGGCTCAAGCAGGCAGGGTTGTTTTCTGCTGCAGGTTGCCAACCTTGTAGCTGACCTTGACCAATGGGTCAAGGTAAGCTACAACCATGGACCACGTCCATCACAACGTAATACACATTTATTAGGCTACGGAGTGTGGGAAGGAAGCTGCATGTAAGCTGTCGGGTGTGGTCGGTCGTGGGCCTGAATCAGGCCCACGAAACTGAATCAGATTCAGTTTGCACAACGCCAGGTCCGATTTTCACAAATCGTGATGTTGGTGAAAATCATCAACTCCAAATCACCAATTGTGCGCGCTGGTACGTTATGCTGGACCTCGCACTTTAGAGCCTCATGTCTCGTCTGGACCTTACGATATCGCCAGCTTGTAACATCACGTAACCTTGCATTCTCTACAGCTTGGAACGGGCCACAGGCTAAGTTTATCTCTCTCCGCAACAAGCATGGTCCGCCATGCCATGGGTTAGCACGTACTACCAACCGCTAAACGTCGACCTCCAGCCACGTGGCCAGTCTTGGCCTTGCGGCGCAGGAGATGTCCTATGCAACATACAACATAACTCTGAGAAGCCTCGTGAGGGCACGTGTCGTGCTTCCGTTGTATTGAAGCTGCGAAAGGCGCCGGGGAGCGTGTGACATGCGTGCGGACGCGTCTTAGGGAGGCTCGAACGGCTCCGACATTATGATTCATTTGATCATTTGTGCCACTGTGATAAGTTCGCTTTAACATTGAACTCGTGTATAGCAGGTCACGAATACGAGGCAGCCAGGGGGTGGCTGGCTACTGGTCCTACTTCAATTGTGTGCCCTTCCGTGCCAAAGATCCCCTGCCAGGAAGCTCTAAACAAATCAGGCATCTCCCAGCGTAACACTGACTGATCTGCACACTTTATAGGGGGATTTTTTCCGTAGTTGGCCGTATTTCGTACATCATCATGAATGGAAGCGCAGCATGCTGACCATGTCGCAAGTCCTTGCCACTTCAGTGCATTGCCATATTCGGAACTGTTGTTGCTGTGGCAGCCTTAAGTCCAACGGTGCTATGATATCGAATTAGCGTCTAGAACGTGCTTGATAAGCCGAGGCCTTGACTTACCTATGTCTGTTGCTGAGACGCCTACTACCTTTTTAAATAAGGCTGCAAGGAAAACCTGCCACGCGGTAGGAACTACTGAACTAGATTGTTTCATGGCTGACCTCCTTTGTTGGCACTCGCTCATGTGAAGCTGTCTTGATTTTATGAGTTAGGCAAGGGACGCGTTCTACTCGTGTGTGAGGGAGCAAGGCGTGGACTTTGCACCGGGCGCACAAATTCCCTTAAAGTGTAAGCTGCAGCGAACGCAATTTGAGGACGCGTGCCCCGCAAGCTGGGTGAGTGAGATTATCAACCTGGTTGGTCGCTATTGCATAGCCTTTACTTGGCATATGATTAGTTGATCGTTTTGGCGGCGGTGCTTCGTGCGCTCTGTATGGGGGGAGTGCTTACAGGATGGGATTACGTTGGTAATGACGCAGAGGCTCTTGTTTTGGTGCGTGTGTTACGGGCCTAAGCACCTGGCTATGTTACTCGCAAATGTGCCTTGATAAGCCATGCTTCCAAACCCCACCACTTGACATCCCCATGCCTAACCCCCAAACCCTTGAACGCTTCAAACCTGGACCTGCACAGTTGAAACACTTTGACGAACTACAGGAGGCCAACGCTCGTCGGGCAAAGTACCTGGCAGCGACCATCAATCGCGCGGCAGACAAAGCCGCAGGTGGGGACGACGAATCCGAGCACAATGCTTGGGGAGGTGTGGTGCCGATTCCGGTGTGTGGGCCCCGGAGCACTTAGGGTTTGCGTGTGCACCTGCGCAAGTCTGTGCATGCCTTCTTGGAGATGTGCGGGTGCCGTTTTCCCCGTGTTTGAGGGCGGGCTGCTGCTGCTGCTGCAGCTACTGTCCTGGTATGGATTTGGCTGAAGCTCTCTTCTGTGGCACATACATACATACATACATACACACATATCAGGTGCAATCCCCTCGCTGCCGTTGGATACCGGTGTGTCACACAGCTCATGATACATGCGTGCGGGGTAACTCCCCACATACTTAACATGGTCATTCCAGAACTGTTCACACATTGGGCCATGTTGCCGTTTATGGCTATTCAATGATGGATTGTGCAGGTTCGCTTTCTGGCAAGGCATAGCTGCGGCTTGGTGTAGTGCGGTAAGCTGGGCCAATGCTGGCTCTTCTTACAAGGAGACCCGACATTGGAAACAGCTGTACCAAAGCGTCTAAGCACGTGTTAGCTCCTTAAGGGGACAGGCGGCTGTTGTGTTGCTTCGTGCAGCCAACTTGCTAACAAAAAAACTTAAAAGCCGTGCGTGAAGGAGCAGCAACAGCAGCCGTAGCGGAAGTTCAGGTGCAATGGGTCGCGACGACGATCGTGATCGCGACCGGGATCGATACCGGGACTACGACAGTGGCTATGGCAGGGAGCGGGACCGCAGCGACCGTCGAGGGGATCGGGGCGACAGGGACAGGGAGCGAGAGTACGACAGGGACAGAGGAGAGAGGGAGTACGATCGTGGAGAGCGCGACAGAGACAGAGGGCGTTCGGAGCGGGAGGTGAGGAGGACGTATGGCACTCGTCCAAAGTGGGGGGGGGGAAGAAGGGGCTAACCGTACGATGTAAGAGGAGGCGAAGGGGTAAAGTGCCGACTCGTCCGAATGACTAGCTGTTGGAAATGGGAAGGGGGAGAGGGGCACAGCATCCGAGCATGAGGTGAAGGGCAGGGGAGGAACCGCTGTGTAACCTTAGGAGGTGTCAAGCGCTTTGCTTTGGGAGCTTTATTTCAGCTAGGGGAGTGTGGGGTGGGGCGATAATCCATGCAACCTCATACGCGGGCACGGTAACTCTCGGCCCGGAGGTCCGGAAGTTCTGGAAATCACGAATGTATTCGACCATGCACTTATTCTTGGTTGAAATTCTTTGGCGCGCGACGCATACAGACATTGCCACGGAACATAATTTATTTGCACACGTCCTTCCCTGGCCGCCCGAAATTGTAAGATTGAATGTAAAGCTGTTTGATGTTGCATGAGCGTTTGTGTGCTGTCCTCATTATCTGTTTATATGTTCGTGGCAGAGAAGTATGTGGTGACTTGACTCCTGTGGACTAGCACTGCCCTAGGTTCTTTCGTAGCACGATCGCACACACAGCCGTACTTCACGCCCCACGGTTGTTGATTATTGTCTTTGCATAAGGTCATCTTGTTTTGGGGGGGGGCATATATGGAAACGGGGAGTGTGCACGGTAGCCACACCCTGCACCTCTTTCCCTCCGGGCCCCCATAAGAATAAAACAGGATGGCTGCTGAAGTTTTAATTACTTACTGCGGATGTACCCGATGTACCCGTGAGTGTGATCCCCTTGCATTCCCTTCTTAATGATGTTACTAACCACACTTACCGACCGTATTATTGTTTGATCCTTTTTTTGTTTTTGCATTTGCAGCGCCCGCGTGATCGTTCAGAGCGTGATCGGGATCGCGACCGGGAGAAGGAAAAGGAACGCAAGAAACGTCGCAGCCGCAGTCGCAGTGGGGACGGTCGGTCAAGATCTCGTTCTAAAGACAGGTGAGTACAAGTACGTCTGCGTTATAATTATCAGCATACCAATTATTAAATCCTAGGATCTGGGATTGGGGCACTTTTTCCTGGTGACTGTGCGGTGCGGATTCGTGTGTTTTCACCGATGCAAGCTCCATAGTCCAGTGACGTGTAAACCTATTCCAGCAGAAATTGTTGTACGGAAGGGAATGTATGTTTGTATAATCATCGGCATCATTCCCATGTCTTTTTTCCTCTCGTGACCCTCTCCATGGCCGGCCGTCTTCCTTGAGGTTCAAAAACATCTACAGGGTTCCCCTCCATGATGGAAAAACAATTACCATCGGGCTTCTGTCATTAGGATTAGGCAGCTAGCTTCAATCCACACGTCCCCCCATTCATTTTCTTCATGGTTTCCTCCACCGTGTGTCATACTTGCTCCGTATCATGTCGTACTTGCTTCCGAAGGCGTGAAGGCAAATCCCGTGGTAGCGACCGGCACCGCGAACGCGACCGCAGCGGCGAGCGGCATAAGAGCCGCCACGGCAGCAAGCGCCGCCACCGGGGGGGGTCCTCGAGTGGTGCGGATGGCCGAATGGACTCGGATGAGGGGGACATGAACGGTGGCGGGGAGCAGGACGCGTCCCAGGCGGTCAACTTGGATGCGGATATCACTCCAGAGGAAATAGCGATGATGCAGGTGCGTTTCACGATTTTTTGCGCCGACTGTTTGTATGTATGTATGTACGTACGTATATATGTATGACTAGGTGGGGCGCCTCGCCTGCGTGAAGGCTGGAGGGTAGGGTACTTGCGATGGACCAGTGACTTCACTGTGCGGCGTGCGGGTTGCTTGCCTTTCTAAGGTAAAGCCCTAGCCTTGAGATGACGGGATCCTTTGGGATATATGCAAGTGAATTCTATTCGTGGCTTTTAAGTATCATTGTTGGTTAAGTACCCGTGCATCTTGGTGAGGGTTGTCGTCGCTCCTCGCAGGCCATGGGCATCCCGTTCACTTTTGACAGCACTAAGGGCAAGGAGGTGGAGGATCCTGCAGCCAAGGTGTCAGCAACACGAACGACAACGCTGCGGACGGCGCGCCAGTACATGAACCGGAAGGGAGGTTTCAACCGCCCGTTGCCAGCCGAGACGACCGGGGAGAAGTACCGACCCGATTAGAATTCGATTGATGTTGCAAGGGGATATTTCAGACCAACAAGCAAAGAGTTGATCATTCTGGTTAGGGAAATTCCGGTCTTGCCAAGTAAAGGCGCGGAGAACGGCCGATGGGTGCGCAGCCCATCGTGGGTTCGTGGACTGCAGACCAAGTTGGTGGAGTTTTGTGGACGTGCGTGATGATGCGCAGTGCTGTACGAGCTGCTATCCAACAGGTCAAACTTGACACGAAGCGGTTGATGTGGGTTGACCACAGGCGACATGACGCGCCTCATGCACCCTGTCTCTTTAGTAACCATGTTATGGATTTCTTGTCGACCTGCTGAGGGAGTGAAAGGCGATTTGTGTACAGCGTTGCCAGCCTCACGTAAGCGGGATTACAACCTTTTTGTTCCCCCTAAAGGGGATGCACCTTGCGCCATGATTACGTTGCTCGCTGAATGGTGTTCCGACGGTGTTCGCTGGTTTGCACAATGCGCTCCTGGCTAACCTCCAGTTAGCCTTCCCTGTGACAAATTGAATCCAAGGAATGTAAGTACCAGCAAATTTGTCATGTCGTTACTGCTAGAACTGACAGGAGAAGACGTGTCAGCCATCGGCTTCGCATCAAGGGTCAACAGCTCTACACATTTCCATGTGCGTAATGTCTTAAAAATGCCATATTACTTTGTGACGGTTAGAAATTTAACCACAAAATCCGTATTCTTATCCATATCCATCTTACTCTTCAACAGTGCTCGTTGAAATATTACCGGAGTGTTACCGGACAGCCGTACGGGCGGGAAAAACCAACTCACTGTTGGGAGGCGGCCTTGATTGTTAGTACCAAGAACTTGTATACCGAGCTTCCTTTACCACCTTTGAACGTGCTTATTTACGTATTCCTTACCGACCTTTATACGCCGAAGTCGGTCGTGTTCCGTGGCAAACAGGTTGCCTCAAACTGGCCGCAACTGTGAGGGGGCCGCTGGGCGGCCTCTCGTCATCAGGACCTGGCCTCGTTATGGATAAGGTGTGCATATTCGCTAATTAGTTTCGGTGTGACTTCGCTTTGGTAGTGCGCTTTGCTCCAGTTCTTTTGTGTAAAAAGGTCCTAACTGTGGAAAGTGCAGTATGAGAGGTTGGAGCGTGCTGGAGAGGGGACCTATGGTGTTGTATTCAAGGCGCGCGACCGCTATACAAATGAAATTGTTGCGCTTAAGAAGATAAGGCTAGAGCAGGAGGATGAAGGTGTTCCCAGCACAGCAATTCGGGAGATCTCGTTCTTAAAGGAGCTAAGGCACGATAACGTCGTCCGGTAAGAGATGCCAGCGTCGGAGGGCTTAACGGCGTGATATGTGCTGTAGCCTGCCGAGACATACCTTCATAGCTCTGCAGGCTATATGACGTGCTTTACAGCGATCGGCGTCTCTATCTAGTGTTCGAGTACCTGGACTTGGACCTGAAAAAGCAAATGGACGCCGCACCGTTCAATCGCAATTTGCGGCTCATCAAGGTGCACGCAGGACTATACAAAGCAGCCGTTGTCTTATAGCTCCAACGTAAATTCATTCGGTTTCTTCCCGAAACGTTGCAGGTGTACATGTGGCAAATGCTGAGCGGTATTGCGTTCTGCCATTCCAGACGGTAGGATGGAGCTTGGGATGACTCTAGCAATGGGCAATGCTGGGGCAAGGGGGCGTTTCCGTGCGCGTATGCTTGTTCCCCGTGTCGTGCCAGTAGCCCCGGGTTCTCCCAGCCTTAGTTGCCCTATGCACCCGGCCCCAGAGCCTTTCTGCAAACTCAATACTAACTTTCGCGGTCTACTGACGCACATGACCGCCTGCCGGGGCTGAAGGAAATGGCGCATTTTGGGAACTACTCAATCGTACAAGGGTATGCTTGCACACTTTTGCGGGGTTGCATGCATCCAGCAAACCCTAAGATGTGGTCCCGCAAGACTTTGCTTTTGCGGCTTGCATAACGTCAATCTCTGTGTTTGCCTATGGTCTTGACTACTGAATCTCCCTCTCTCTTTTCGATTTCAGGATATTACACCGGGACTTGAAGCCGCAGAACCTCCTCATTGACCGATCCCGGAATCAGCTAAAGCTGGCGGACTTTGGTCTTGCCCGTGCCTTTGGAATACCAGTTCGTGCGTACACGCACGAAGTGAGTCCCGGGTTGGGCGGGTGGCTCCATTGAAGCCGTTTACTTAGGAGTTTATGAGGGTTCTGGGGGTTCTGGGGAGGAAAACATTCTGGGGTGTTTTGCCTGCTGCTTTTATAACAAGGTAATTTAGACAATTTTTTCCCGCCAGGTGAATACAAATATTCCATTTTTCTGAAAGCATGAAGTATTAAGTTGTGGAGGCAGCAGCAGAAAGTGAATTAGTAACTTGTATAACCGTTACGGAATGATTTAAATAGCCTCAAGAAACGCGAGGAAGTTGTGCCACATGATTAGGGGGTTTACTATGCTGCACAGTGACTAGGGGAGAAGCCCATGCTGCAAGGGTCATCTCGTCGGTGTGCTGTTTCGAGGGGCATGCGGTAGCCGCACCAACAGCACCAGGGACCCGTCTGTGTACGTTTACTGGTTGCGATGGCGTTGCATGCGTCTACCAAGCGACGGTTGTTTGCCGTTACCTGATTAATTTGTCTGGTGCTTCCTGCTGCACGCTGATGATGAGCTAACCAAGTTAGCCCTAGACCTAGCAAGATTGGCCGTGGAATGACTGCGTAGGTGGTGACGCTATGGTATCGCGCGCCTGAGATCCTGCTGGGCAGCAAGACGTACTCGACACCGGTAGATATCTGGTCCATAGGCTGCATTTTCGCGGAAATGGTCAACAACAAGCCCCTTTTCCCAGGGGATTCGGTGAGTAGTACGTAGAGATGATGGGCGGGGCGATATTTGTTTGGCTTATAATTCTCGCAAGCGGAGTTGCAGCCGTTCCGTGTGCGGCTACCAGCGCATGCTTGGCGTCCGAAGTTGTCCTGACCCAAATCGCTAGAGCATTGGAGCCTAACCCACATCGTTACCAAACGATTTGACAAGTCTAGGACCAAACCATTAGTGCGTGGACGGTCGTCCCAGTTCGTTACGATCCGAACCCAAATCGACGGGAACAGGAAATCGACCAGCTTTACAAGATTTTTCAGCTGCTCGGCACGCCGGACGAGACGATGTGGGTTGGATGCTCCGCTTTGCCAGACTACAAGGACACCTTCCCCAAGTGGCGGCCACAAAATTTGGCGGCGGCGGTGCCAACGCTGGGGCCCCAGGGCGTTGACTTGCTGGCACGCATGCTGGTCTACACGCCGCAACATCGGTAAGGAAGCCATATACCCGTGAATCCACGGTAGCCGCGTGAATATGCTTTATATAGGGTGAGGATAATATTTAGGTTTAGGGATAAATTGGTTACCTAGGGCAGGGGGTGGCATGGTCAGATGCTTTGGCAGGAATTCATGCAGGACCGCTCAGGAGCTTCGGGACCGCGGGCATCGTAAATGATGTAGTAGACAGCCTGTGCCATGTGTGCTGCATGTATGCGTGATGTATCTGAGCAGCGGAAACAATGTGATTTCCACAAGCCATGTTTCGTAGCGCTGGGAGAGTATGTTATTTCAATGATCGAAATGGAGTCCACAGGCTCGCCATAGTTGTAACGGCTGCTGGCCTCACCTTGTATCCGTGTGGGTGTAACGCTACGAAAACTTTAACTTTCTGGTCGCAGGATTACGGCGAGCGCAGCGTTGGACCACCCCTACTTCGACGAGATTCGGGATCAGATGCGAGCCAGCGGGGGTCTGCAAGGTGGCGTGTTGCAGCACTGATAGGACTTCTGGACGTCGTGGTGGATTATATTATTCCGGCAGCAGAATCTTCCGCGGGATACACTGCTGTACGTAATTTTTTTGTCCACGTTGTAGCTGTTAGGGTGCTGGGTATCCTGTCGGGCTGGTGTTACGATTCTCTGCATGCCCAGCGTATAGCTGCGCCGTGCGCGCTCTCCCAGTCAGTTTACCTTTTGCCTGTCGTTCGCAACGTTCCTGATCTGGTGTTAGGAAAGAATGTAGTGGGGTTGTTTGTCCTTTTCAGGGTGTCTAGTTCCGGACTAGCTCCGAAGTAGCCAGGATGTTTTCGGCACTCCATTCGGCAAAAGTGCACGGAGTGTGCGCGGCTGTTGCGATTGCGTGGTCATTATAGACTTAAGAGGACATGAGCTAATCTTGGCGCTGTGCCGGTAGGACATTGGTTGCTCTCTGTTTGACATGTTATTGATTTACTTTCGGTTCTTTCGGTTCTCTAATAGCTGCCTGCTTAGTAGTCTGTATGTCATCCGTGCTTCATTGAGGAAACGGTGGTGAGTTTACCTAGGTTTACAGCTCAGCACGGATACGATCCGTGCATATCACTCCTCTAGTTAGGTTTTGGACAACCTACGGTCTGCTGTGTTCGGACGCTGTCCTGCTACTTGTTTGGCTTGTTTTTGTTAATGTTATTGCGGAGCGGTGTGAGGCGATTGTGATTCCCAATCGTCATTTGCTATGTTAGCCTGTAACGGTGTGAGCTCGATCAACCATGTACTTCATACACTAGAGGGTTTTCTAAAGGGTTTCCTGCCGACCGCCAAGGGTGTGTAACTCATGATAAAGGTGCTCTCGAATTCTCCAGGGGGGACAGGATTTGGTGCATGGGTCAACTACGAGCAGTGGCTGTGGGGTAGTTAGAAGACCTCTGTAGCTGAGGCGGCAACGGTTTCAAGTGAAAGATGGCGTCAGAGTCTTGACGGGAAATAAATGCCTAGTGCGGAGGAGGACTCTTTACACAATACATCCTTATGTTGTACCTGCGTCGGGTTTACGGCTCGTCTTTTGAGCCGGCGGTGGTTACAAGTCCACAGCACGTATCATTGCATTTGAACACCGATTTCCTTTGTCAGACATAAATAATTTCATTTCTTGCTAAGTGCTTTCTTACCCAAATCAGTATTGGATAGTTTTGCGTCGGCTTCGCGTATCCAACGGCTTTAGCTTGGTCACACACGTTTACAAACAATCGGGACGACGACAGTTTCACAATTCGATTAGCCGTATCATGAGTATTGAGGAAGTCTGAATCTTCAGTGACAGCGAGCTCGCGATATGCCTAGTCCCGGTCAACTAGACAATGCCAGCAACTCCCTCTCCGGCAAGGCCAACGCGGCTCCTTTTGTTCCTAGCGGGTCTCCACAGCCCAAAACGCCTGCAACAAGCGGCGGCTTTCCAGAATCGGCCGTAAAGGCACAGCCGTTCGTGCCCGGTAGGCCGGAACGTAGACGATGATCCTTCCACCGACTTGCTTACTTCTCAAGGATAAAGTGCGGCTTACCTCGGTTTTTAAGGAACGCAATTTGTCGTTCGCGTCCTTCTGCCTTTGCGTGGGTGTCCATGCACCCAACGCGACCGGATGATTTTACGTAGGCAAGGGTGCTGTGCATGGCAATGTCCAAAGCGGAGTTGGAGTCCAGGTCGGTCCTGGCAAAGTTCCAGCCACAAAGTTAGCGGCTAATGCCGCTGCATTCGTACCGAAGCAGCCTGACAACAGCGCAGGGAAAGGAGGCCGCGGGTGAGAGAGTGGTGGAAGGGGATTTGAATGATGGGCGGGGTGATGCGCGCGGGCCCAGGGGTGGCGCCCAGGCGTAGTCGGAGTTCCAATTGACCGGGCATGTGCATGGTCTCTTCTCGCTGCTCCTTTCCGCTGCTACCCCAATTTTAACTGTCCATTATGCTAAATACTATCTATTCGCGCTCCACATAACATTTTTCGTAGCTTAACTGCTGACATCACCCGGCACACGTCAGAATGTGGTGGGATGTTGCCGCAGGCCGGCAGCTGACGCAGCAGGGGTTACGGAGGCGGGAGCTTCCGCAAGTGGTCATGGCCTTGTCGGCGGCCGGTGAGCAGATAGGCGCACTGGGAAACGTAACATAGGAATGGACGGATGGATATCGCACCAGTTCACAAGGGGTGAAAGGACCTCGGGGAGAAGTGCAATGCGGTTCAGGAGCAGTAGGCGGCAACATCCAAATCTCCGCGCTGTAAACACTCATTCACGTACACAACACACACGCACATGCACACGCACAAGCACTCTCCAGGCAGCAACACTTTGCGCTGTATCAAAGCGCAGGGGAAGTGGCCCCGCCGCCTCGACGCCGCCGGCAGCAGCCGCATCTGCTGCAGCGGCTCAGTCGCCGTCACCATCACCGCTGGCGGCATCTCCTGCCGCGGCAGCCGCAGCCGGCGCTGGCCGGGGACCCGCCAGCGGCCGCGGCGGCCGTGGGGGCGGGGGCGGGAGCGGCAGCACGAGCGCTACACCGGCGCTGATTGGTCAGTTTCAGCCGGGTCGTACGGCTGGGGCGCTGTCAGGGCGCGGTGGCGGACGAGGCGTTGCAGTACCGGGATTGGTACTCAACAACACCTCCGTGGAATCATCTCCAGGGCAGATGCAGGGGCGGGGAGGAGGACGCGGCGGGCGTGGTGTCGGCGTTGGCCCTGGCGGCGGCGGTGCTGCCGCCGGCGGCGTTGGCGTTGGCGGAGGCGGCGGCTTCATGGCCGGTGGCGTCATGCATCACCCATCAGTCGGGGGCATGATGGGCGGTGGTTTCGGAGGTGCCCATGTGGGTCACATGGGCGCATTGCAGATTCCGACGGCGTATGGCAACGGTGGCGGCAGCCATTTACCGTCGTACAGGCAGCGTGACCTTTACCTGTCGGGCCCTGGTCGGGCGTATGTGGGTGTTCATTTCGTTGAGGAGGGCCTCAGACAGCAGCTACAGCAGCGGTCGTACATTACGGCGGCGCAGGTACGGCCATTGTTAACTGTCAACCGAATCCTCCGTCAGTCGAAAAGCATATGAACGGGACCACCTGCAGGATGCCTTTTCACTATATCAGGACGTCTTTTTTGTAAGAAGTGACAATGATGACGTATTGTTGCATGATTCCGGTGTTGATGCAAATGTAAGCCAAACGTTGTTGTAAGTAATGAAATAAATAGATCACCAGATAGATGCAGCGTGTGTGTCCGGAGCTGCTCTGTGCTTGTGACCCTTAACCGTTAACCGTTAGTTGTACCTCTACTGCGAGTCTTCACATTTATCAATAGCTGCAGCTCATCCATACATTTATTCGTACTATTTTCGCTTACAAGCAACCGTACTGCACCTGACTCTGTCGTACAATGCCGTACATCATTGTGTACAGTGGCACGACGAATCATCGGATGAGCACTACGGCGGCGGCGCATTCCGCCTGGGTCCGTACCACACCCTATATCCGCTGGAGGAGGGCGCCATGGGCCCTATGGCCGCCGGGGCGGCGGGGGGCAGCAGCCAGGGCATTGAGATGACGTCAGCAGCTCTGAGATTGCGGACCTCCTTGGTGAAGGGAATTAGTTCGGTTGACGGCAGCGCCGCGGCGTTGCGGCGGATAGATCCTAGACAGGTCCGGAGTGGGTGGTAGTTGAGATGGGGGTTGGGGCGGTAGTTAACGAGAAACGGATTGCCCGGTGGATTCATTGCGTTGCTCGTGGGTGGCAGTGTGGGTGGTGGGTGAGGTAGTGGGCATATAGTCGGTAGGAGAGTGTTGCCCGGGGTGTACTACACGGTCATCTACGGCAGCAGTAGCAGCAGCAGTAGCAGCAGTTTTCCTTGACCGCATCTACTATGGGGACATTGGGAATGGGATTTTTTTAACGTCTACCTACCTCTTTTTGTTACTACCCCCCTTACCCCCCCTCCCCCCTACCCCCCTTAACCCCCCGGCCCATACACACTCCGTAACATCTCGTTAGGTCGTCCCAACTGCTGAGCTGCTCTCACGGGCGCGTGAGACCGTTGAACACTGGGCCCCTCTGGCCAACCACCCCAATCTGGTTGGTCTCAGAGCCGCATTCCTAGCCTCAGAGAGCCTCGTACAACCGCCACCGCTACCAGGAATAACCACCCCGCACAACCATCACAACCACCATAACCATAACCACCATCATCACCACCAACCTTCGGTTTCGACAACTTCCTCCATGATGTTGGAGGCCGGAGGGCAGCAGCAACACCAGCATCAGCAAGGCGTAGGAGGCGGTGGAGGCGGAGGTGATTGCAGTGCGCTTGTGTTTGCGCATGATTTCCATCCAGGGGCGGTTTCGCTGGTGGCGGCGCACTTGATGCCGCAGGTAATCAATCCCCGGGGGGAAAGAGATGCTGGGGGTTTGGAAAGGGGGCTGATGGTTTTGCAGGCGTGCGTGGACAAGAGTACGGGTCGAGCGTGCCGCACGTGGGGTTGGGTATTCGGGAATGTACGGGTAATGTACGGGTGCGGACGGTTGAATAGGTTCAAGTTTGTGGGGTGTGTGTGTGTGTGTGTGTCAGTGAACGGACTATAACGGTCTCCGCAAGGTTTTTCCTAGTTGGTGGGCTTCCACCCTCGTTAATGTCTGGCTCAGCTGCGCGCTTCGGCAGTACCTTGCAGCAGTAGAACCGTCAAGAAGCATCCTTTGCCTTCCTGTGACATCCCGTTGGTCAAAATTATTTTAAAAAATATTGTTATTTGTAATAGTTTTGCCTTGTTCACTTCCCGGAACTTTTTTCCTCTCGTATCCTCCGTACTGCTCTCCTACTTTCCCCTCGAACAGATGAACGCCGCGGGTTTGGTTTCGGCGCCCCAGCCGCCGCCCGAAGAGGTGGTGTGGAGCTATGCCGTACAGATTACGTCAGCGCTGAGGGCGGCACACGGGTGCGGGCTGCTGCTGAGACCTGCCTGTCTGCATCCTAGCAAGGTGTGTTTGGGCTGTGTATGTAAGTGTGTATGTATGTATGTTTCATAGTCACCTTTGCGTGGGGGGGAGTGTGTGTGTGTGTGTAGTGGTGGGGAGGGGGGAAGGGGGGAAATGGACAGGGGTGTGTGTGTGTGCGTTGTCTGTACTGGCAGCAGCGCGCGTCTCGCTCCAGTTGCCAGTCTTCCAGCAACACGAAATGGCATGTGTATTTCTCCCCTCCCGCACGCTGCTGTTACTGCTATTGCCCTTGCTGCTACTGCGCTTGCTGCTAGTGTGACTGCTGCTGCTACTGCTACTCCTGCCGCTGCTACTGTTCCAGTCTTGCGTTCTGTCTCCTTCCCCCTGCCTACCCGGTCTTATTGTTCCCTCCTTACCCTATATCTTATCTTTTAGCTCCTTTACCTCTCCTTTCCCTCTCGTCCTTCTCCGTCTCCTCCTACTTGTACTAACATATATATGTACGTCTGTAGGTGTTGTTGACGGGTTTTGGTCGTCTACGTATCGGCAGTGTGGGTATTGTGGACGCACTATTGGGGGGGGACCAGCCGCCCCCAGGTCAGGAGGAGATGCAGCTGCTTATGAGGCAGGACATAACGGTAAGTAAACGGATTGTACGGAGGTGTACGGAGGTGTACGGGGGTGTACGGATATGTGCGGATTTCGGGATGGTGCGGATGCTGCTATATTTGGGGGGATTGTAGGTTGGGCCAGTCGTGTATGTATGTGTGTATGTATGTATGTTCCCATTCCCCCATCTTCCCCCCGTCCCTCTACGACAGGCAAAAGAACCCCTCCCCGCTGTGACACACTTTTTCAACCCCGCCCCGCCCCCACCAGGCCATGGGCAGCCTTCTCCTGGCCATTTGCTGTGCAGGTGCGGGTCCCGCGCCCTCCCTGGACTTGGTGGCCGCCCACTACTCACCCGAGCTTGTACGGCTACTGGGTGCGCTGCTGTCCGCCTCCGAGGGCGGTCCTCTGGGCAGCTGGCGGGGGCTGGTGGCGGCGCTGGCGGACCGGGCCTTCACAGAGCTGGACGGGGCGGGAGTGGTGCTGGACAACATGGTGCGGGTTTAGGGGTCTAGGGTTCTCTTTGTTACATTGGAAAATTCTTAAAGATCCCTTCCCCCCCAACACAAAAACCCCTAGGGCATCTCAATGGAGGCAAACCCTTCAGGTCAACCCTAAAACCCGCCGTGTCTTCATTTCTCCTCCCCCCTATCCCCTACCTTTCCTTGCCACTCGCTCGTGTTTCGTCCCCCCTCCCTATTTCCCCCCCCCCGACACACCCCCCCCGACACACCCCCCCGGCCTGCAGGTCGGCGAGCTCAGCAAGGAGGCGGATAACGGGCGGCTTCTGCGGCTGTTGGCTAAACTCAATTTCGTGACGGAGCGGCCCGTGGCGGGGGATGGACTTCATAACGGCGGACAAGACGGGGTGAGGGGGGGGTGAAGGGTGGAAGAGGATGATAATGGCGGACGGTTGGTCCGGGCCCTTGCTAAGCCGGCGTTCCAATTCGAATCTACGTTCAAGCAGTTGTGCTTACAAAAGAATTGCTCCTGGGACCCTTTCCCCATCGGGGAGACGTGTACGCACGTGCATGTGTATCTGTATATGTATCTGTATGTGAGCACGTGCGCATGTGTATGTGGGTGACTTCGGGGGTTGGGGACGGGTTGGGGTTGAGAGGTGCTGCTTGGAACATGTGCTTTTCAGCTGAATCAGCACACTCGTACTCGTACTGCATTTTGGTGACGTTGATGTTTCTCCACACCAGTTTTACCCGCCCGCCCGCTTAGCATCATTTGTCTAGCTCCGAAACCGCTCCCTCCTCCCTTTTCCCCCCCTCCTTCAGGACTCCACCTGGCCGGAGACGGGCGACCGTTACGTGCTCAAACTGTTTCGTGACTTTGTGTTTCACGCGGCCGCTCCCGACACGGGTGCTCCCCTGCTGGACTGGGGGCTGCTGGTGGAGGCGCTGAACAAGGTGATGCCGGGGGGGGGAGGGGGAGGGGAAGGGGAAGGGGGAAAAGGGGGGAGCTCGAGAGTTTGGGCGGGTGAATCGGGGGGTAGGGGAGGGAGGGGGGGAGGGGCAGTTTGGGTGTGTATTGAGACGTCTCCGAAACCCTAATTTCCTTACTACGTGTGCTTGTTAAAACACGCATGCATACATACATGCTAACTACATACATACTTACTACATACTTGCCCCCATCAGCTCTCTTCATACACGGCTTACGGTACTGGCCTCAGCTCGTTCGCTCTTCCTACATCTCCACTTCTCCCCCCCT